GGTGGCCACAAGCAACCCATTAAGATAAATTAGAGGATCTGTGTCTACGGTGACTCCTGCAGCCTACAGTCTGGGTGCAAACCTGTCCCTCACTGAACACCATCCTGTAACCACCTTGTACACTTCTGCAGGGTGCCTATGAGTGAGCAACTCCCATCTCCCTGTTTCCACCAAGTCTTCCTGCCACCATTGATGGAATAATAATATCACCTGGTGGGGGTCTCACACTACACAGGGCCATCACACAGATAAGTCCTGGAACAGGGTCTGGAAGGTGCTGCTGGTGTTCCCTCAACTGTGACTGTGTCCACACCAGGTTTCCAGCCTTGTGGATTTGCACAGGATGCTGTGACAGCTGCTCCACATCCGGTAGCAGGGCCAGGTCGACTTGTTGCCAGGACAGGGCCTTTGGAGTGGATCAGTAGTCCTGGGTTGACGCCATCAGGCTCCTATCCATCCTGGCATTGCAGCACCGTTCCCTATCCCCCCATCCCCCCATGCCCCCTATCCTCTCATTCCCCCCTCCCCCCCCTCCCGCCAGCTCTTCCATCCGTGTAGAGAAGCCGTGGAGACAAGTTTTGTCAATGTGGGTGGCAGGAGTCAGGATGGCTCTGACTTCTGGTCTGATGAGACCAGGTCCTCAGAACCTTCCTTCACATGCTTCTACCTGCCCTGCCGCTACCCAGCAGCCACCTGGGCAGCCTCGTTTACTCACTCTTGCTCATACCTACTCAGAGCCGAGGTGCCTTTCTCCATAGCTCCTGGTTCACGTCTTCCATGGAGGTACAGCTGTGCACCTGCGTGGGGCCAGCATGAGCATGGGTTTTGCACACCGGTCACCTGTACTCACCTGGTCCGGTGAGACTGTCTCTCACACACGGGGGGGGGGGGAGTATGTTTTTTTTTAATTACATTCATTAACTTATTGGGCACACTGCTGTGGCGTGTGTGTGGAGGTCAGAAGCCTGTGGGGGATCAGCTTTCCCTTCTAACCCGTGGTCCCTGGGAACCTTTACCACTGAGCATCCGTGTTTTATCTAGTGGGTTACTCCCAGGTTTGACAGTGTGTTTCCAAATACAAAGTATTTCCCAGGAAACACAGAAATTACATTTTAAGACTGAAGCAGTCCTCTGAACCTGTCCCACATGCAGCATGGCCGCAGCTCACACCCCGGCATGGGCTGGGCTCCTCTTGTCTGAATCCCTGAGCATGAATTTAGCTGAGTTTAGAACAAGGTGGGTTTCTGAGCAAGCTGACTCATCTCTCAAGCTTTGCTTTGGAAAGAGTTTGACTTTTATATCCACACGGTCCTTTGTTTTCTTTGTTGGTATTGCCTGTTTTTGAGTCGGGGCCTCGATCTATAGCAAAGTGGGGTCAAGGCTCTTGACCTCAGCCTCAGCCTCCCCTACACCGGAGTTGTAGGCGCACACCGCCATAGCATGCTTTGGCTCTTACACTAAAAAAGAGGAAGTGTTTTGCCTATGACTCTTAGCGCTTGCTGGTGTTAGTCTGCAAGTAGCAGAAGTCGCCATTCACAGTAGCAGAAGCTGCTGTGAATCCTCTTTGATCGCTAGCGCTTTCTCATTAGTAGACGTGACTGAGGGTATAACGCATGCCCCGCAGGTGTTCTGAGCAGCTGCTGTAGGGCCAGACCTGTGCGAATAACAAGGGAAGTGATCCAGGAGTGTACGGACGTGGAGTTCGGGAGGAGAGGTTGCCCCAAGGGTACTGGGGATGGCAGGCAGTGTAGGAAGGAACTGAGATCCTGCAGTGTGGGCAGGACCTTCAAGCCAGTTTGTTGCTGTCCTAGGACTGGGCCCACCTTCCTGTCTGACTAGGACCCCTGGAGAGGCTCTCTGAAGGGGCTGCTGCTCTTGTGAATATAGCCCAGGGCAGGGGCAGGAAGAAGGAAGGTCATGTGCGTCTCCTGGTGGAGAGAAAGTCCGGTTATTCTTGTGATGAGGGGTGCAGTCTCAACCTCACCAGCCAAAGCCCAGGGAAGGGTGACAAACTAGGAAACGAGGCTCTGTTCAAGGGGTTCAGCTGTCTTCCTTTGAGTCTCTGGCATCAGTCATCTGGCCAGGGTCACCTGGCCAGGAGGCACCGTATGAGAGCCTCTCCAGGGGTCCTAGTCAGACAGGAAGATCTGTTCCTGGGAATGGAGCTGGGTGTGGGGAGGCCGTCCAGGCCCTGTCCACACACTATACATCCTTGTGGGGGCAGACCAAGACAGCCTCCATGGTCCTGGCTTTAGAGTGTGGCCAGAAATAGCTGCTGTGGGCACAACACCCAGACTAGGGCGCTCTGCTAATCACTAGGTTTTCTTGTCCAGGTAATGTTAGGGAAACTGCTGCTTAGCATCAGATACAACCAGCCAGGCCCCCAGGAGGCCATCCAAATAGGCCCACTCGGGGGTGCCACCTCAGGGTGCCACAGAAGCAAGGAGGCCGAAGGGGCTTCTCCCTCCTGCCGCTTGGGCTCCTGCTGAGCCACACTTATGTAAGCCTCGGGATGGCTGCTATTCTTAGCCACCATCTGTGCTACCTCGTGAGTTGGCGTTTCCTCCTTCGGGGTGATCTTTTTCTTTTCTGATGCCTTCAGTTTGGCTTAGACCTAAAAAAAAAAAAAGAAAAAAGAAAAGAAAAGAAAAGAAAAGAAAAGAAAAGAAAAGAAAGGAAACCGGAGGAGCCCAAAACCCAATCTCCCTAAAGTCAGAGTCCCAGTGCTTCTGTCCAGAGTAAAGTGTGTGTCCATCTATCTGCCCGTGTGTGTAAATGCTCCGAGTTCCTGGGCTCCATCCGTGAGCGAAGACAGAAATGGCAGGCCCAAGCTGAGACACCTCCTCACTGATGAGTAATTGGCTCCAAGTTTTGAGGAGCCATCCTCACAGGGATACAAACCCCTGAGTAGATGCTTTTAGGAGCTCTGTCAATACCTCACTGTCCCCTACCATACACTGTGTGTTTCTGCCTGTGTGTCTCATGGGTGTGTTACAATTGAGGGCACTGTCGTGGAGTGTACACATTTGTGCTCATAGGTAGCCTAGTTTAAACTAGATATATGCTCTAGCATGTTTTACTCAAGGAAGTTGATTCTGTGTCTGTGTATGTATGAACCTGTCTGTGAGAGAGAATGTATTTATTATGTATGAGTGAGTGAGGAGACCAGAGTTTAAGGTCACGTATCTTCTTCAAGTGCTTTTCCACCTTACTCTTTGAGACACAGTCTCACCTTCCTAGATCTGGATGGCGGGCGGGGGGGTGGGGGAACCTTGGACTTCCCACAGGGCTGGGAACCCTGACTGCTCTTTGGACTGGAGACAGAGGGAGAGGGAGAAGGGAGGAGAGGGGAAGGGAGGAGGTGAGAATTTTTAATAATAATAATAAAAAAGATGTTTGTATAAAGAGATTTGCACACAGGTGCACACATACATGGGCACATGCAAAGGTGTGTGTGCACACATAACAGTTCATGGACACTTATGCACACACATGTACATAGACCCACCTGCACCCATATATGGGCATATTTGTACACACAGATGTGTGCCTGGATATATAGCCCCACACATACATACATATATGCACATAGATACACAAACACACATGCACAAAGGTACATGCATGTATGTGCCACACACACATATGCTGACTCACCTGCACATACATACCACACTGCTTGCTGAGACCATTTGAGAATGCTTGCACCATTGTGATAAGTTATCCACACATTCTCAGCTGTGTGTCCACTGAGAACAGAACTGTACGTGTGTGTGACCGTCATGTGTGTCCACTGAAAACAGCACTGTGCAGGTGTGTGACTGTCATGTGTGTCCACTGAGAACAGAACTGTACGTATGTGTGACCGTCATGTGTGTCCACTGAGAACAGCACTGTGCAGGTGTGTGACCGTCATGCACGCTGACAAAGTAATGCCAACATTATTGCAACCACTGAGACAGTAAAAGTTGTCTGTAAACTCGGGGGTATATTATTGAAACTTTATTTCCTAGTGAACTGTGGTTTCAGATTCCCCATCTCTCAGAAATGCTTTTTATGTCTTCTACTAAAATCCAAGGTCGGTGACAGGAAGGACACATCCAGTTTTGCCACTTCAGCGGTCAGTTTGCGTTTCATGTTAGGTCCTGTGGTGTTGATACTTGTGACGGCTGGAAGCCAGGGCTTTGTAGAAACCCTTAGCTTGGTGTCTGTGTGTCCAGCTTCAGCTAGTCACCGCAGCAGGAGCCTCTAGCATTGGCTACAGGACACTCATGCATCCATCAGGTCAAGTCCCTGACTTCTCCGCTGGCAGGTGCCTCCTCTGTTTGTGACTAGCATGTCATGTTATCTATGGTGATCCTCTGGGGCTCACCAGCAGCCTCTTCCCCAATACTCTTCCTGCCTGTGTCTGAAGCCGTGGGGATTCTTCAACCCTTACCTACATTGAGGGTGTACTGGTGTGTTGTTTTGTGAATGTCTTCCCTGTGTAGCCTTGTGCCAGGTGGTGTTGGGTTGTCCCTCCCCCACACTTCTGGTTCCCACTCGGCCTGCACCGAAGTCTTTGCAGCTGTGCCTGCCCATCGGCGATTAGATGACTCCATACTCTGCCTGGAGGGGCACTGCTGAGAGAAATCGGGGTTACAAACTGAGCAGAATAGGGTGGACAATGCCTTTCCGCTCACAGTGTGAGCGTTGTAGTCCCCTCTAGGGGAGCTGTGACAAGAGCCAGCTGGAGCTTCTGGACTGCAGAGCAGAAAGAACAGGTGCAGGCACCTGCTTGAGGTGGGGTGGGGACAGGAGAGCCAGCTGCTTCCCTGACAGTATCACATTGTCCCATTTTCCTGACAGCTCCCGACATAATGTCTCCTGAGTTTGCACAGTAGGGTCCATGTGTTTGTTTTCCCAGGTCCGTGAGGATGTGCTGCGTGTCACCTGTGGGAAGCACAGCTGGTGGCATGGTGATGCCAACCCACCCTGAGATCTCAGGCCCAGAGGCCTTGGGATTCATTAACACTGGTCTCATGCATCTCCTTTGGCTGGTGTCTGTGAACCCTCATCATAGGCGCCACCGCCAGCGTTTAGCTTCTCGAGAGGAACCTCAGACTCAGGCCCAGGGTTTTCTGGCTGGTTAACACTGAGATACAAACTTTGATATGTTCACATTAACTTTTGTTTGTTGGGTGCTGTCAGACAAGAGCACATCAGGCTGGGCACAGCGCATCAGGCTGGGCACACCTCACGCGCACAGAGCACCAGGCTGGGCACACATCACGCGCACAGCACATCAGGCTGGGCACACGTCACGCGCACAGCGCATCAGGCTGGGCACACGTCACGCGCACAGAGCATCAGGCTGGGCACACCTCACGTGCACAGAGCATCAGGCTGGGCACACCTCACGCGCACAGAGCATCAGACTGGGCACACCTCACGCGCACAGAGCATCAGGCTGGGCACACCTCATGTGCACAATGGGAAATGAGTGATATTTCTGTTAGATAAGAACTTACTGTCATTTCACAGTTCACAATTTTCGAGTATTTTACAAAACACCAATATCAAATTCTCATCTGTCTAACCTGTTTTAGAAGCGAAGGTTTTATTTTAGCCTTTCCGCAGTTTTAAACGCCAGTGGTTGGTTTTACAGCAGAGAATATTTACTGCTGGTGGCCTTCACAATAGGTGTTTGCACGCATCCTTAAAAACCTCTCCCACATGGCTTGCATTTCTTTTAATTTTTATACAACTATTTAATATGAAAATTCAATAGCTTAACAGAAACTAAAACAGCTTAAGGAAGAGAAAATGGCTTCCTGTGAGACTGAAGGTCACCTCTGGCCAGTGGCAGTCTCATGGGAGGAGCCTTGTATCTATTACAAGGTGCAGGTGTTGTTGATCTTTTAAGGGTCCAAGCGTTAGCCTTCCCTACAGAACCAGTCTTCTGGGAGGTGTGAGTCTGGGTGACAAAGCTAATTGAAGTTTACAGAAGAGTGATTCATTGTCACCCCAAGGAAAGCTGCCTGCCCTGACAGTGTCTCCTTAAATAGTGGTGTCCAATTTCACAGAGAGGACAAGTCTGGAAGCCCTTGTGTTAAGTAGCCCAGAATCTGCCCTCAGCTTCTGCCTTTGCAGGGCTGTGTTCTGTCCTTGGTCTGAGCACTCACCCTCTCCCAGGGCACCGGTGACAAAGCCCAGTTACTGGCATGGGCATGGCGTATCCTGAGGGAGCTGCGGACACACGCTGGGCACACCTCATGCGCACAGAGCATCAGGCTGTGGACAGCGGCATGTCTCGGCATCCTTGCCATGGCAGGGCCGAGGGCAGCCTGGTCACCAGGGCAAGAGCATGAGTGGGAGGGTGTGGCCCACAGCAGGGCCCTCAGCGGTTCCCAGCACCCTGTTCCCTTATCCACTCAGGAAGAGGCCTGACCAGGCCCCTGTCTCTCAGCATGCCTCTGACCAAAAGTGACGTAGCAGGTGATGTGAACATCACCATGTTGAAGGTCCTGTGAGGACCAAGGGCACGGGGTTCAACAGAAGATTTTCTTCCAGGGCAAGGCCAGTAGGAGGCCAGCTGCGAGTGATGGACGCTGATACGTGCTGTTCTGGGTGGGAGGTCAGCTGTGGGTACCACATGACCAGACTCACTCCCTCATCCTGTGGAATGAGGCAGGCATCGCCTTCACTTCCCACTTCGCATACAGGAAAAATGGAGGCAGTAACTTATTCAAGATCAAAGACCTCGCAAGAGGCAAAGAATAACCAAACACAAAAAACCTAACTATCCAAGGGTATGCATTTGCATGTGCGTGCTGGGCGAGTTTATATGGATCTTGGTTTCAGCCACTCCACAAACGTATTTTCTTTCTTTTTTTTTTTTTGTTTGTTTGGTTTTTTTTTTCGAGACAGGGTTTCTCTGTGGCTTTGGAGCCTGTCCTGGCACTAGCTCTGTAGACCAGGCTGGTCTCGAACTCACAGAGATCCACCTGCCTCTGCCTCCCGAGTGCTGGGATTAAAGGCGTGCGCCACCATCGCCCGGCTTGCTTTTTTCTTTAATAAGTCCATAGTGCCCTGTGGCTGAAGTGACAAGGTGCCGTAGACGGGGTGGCTTGCACAAAAGAAACTTAAGTCTGTGATTCAGGTGCCTTACGTGTGGGAAGGCCCCGATACTGGGATGAGCAGAAGACCCTCACTTAACCCCTGACAACTAGAATATGCTTCCGCTGTTCAGTTTTAAACGGCAGCATCCCCCAGATGCCCACATTAGCTGCAGTGGCTGGTTGGTTCTGTGGCCTGGGCCACTCATAGCAAATGCTCCAAGCCCTCCTTCCGTTTCGCAGGCGTCTTTCCCAGCAAACCTGCAGCTCGTCCTTGTTCTCCGGCCCACGGGGTTTTTCCAGAGGACTCTCTCAGACATCGCCTTCAAGTTCAACAGAGATGACTTTAAGATGAAAGTTCCGGTGAGTGCTGAGCCTGTGCCTTTTGTTCTGCGTCAGCAGAACCAATCGGAAGAGCATTCTTGGAGCATGGTAAACTCTCAGGGAGTTACCTCCATTCTGTGGCCATAAGTATAATCCCACTCGATCTGCACAGCAGTTACACTTCCCTGTGTTCTGGTGGCAGAAGCTCTGTGCATTTGCCTTCCCTAAGTCCTGCCTTGCCCCAACTAGTGGTCTATACATACAAGGCCACTGCCTTGGATGAGTTCCCTGGGATAGCTCTGTCAGAATGCTGTAAGTCATGGGACAGTCCTACACTAGTTCACAGCACACCCCAATTGTTTCAGGGAAAAATGAAGGCTAATAAAGAAAACATGAGTATCTTCTGAGTCCTTAGGCAGAGCTTCAGCTGCCAGCCACACCGGTGCTGGGCCTCAGCCAGGAACAGCCCAGCAGGTAGTCCCTACCTTCTAGCCATGTCTCCAGCCAGCATGGGTCAGCCCCTTCCTATCATCCCCAGAAAAAGGACCCTAATCTTGATTCTACTCCCCCTCAAAACCCAAGGCTGCTGGGCAGGCGTGGCGCACGTCTTTAATCCCAGCACTCGGGAGGCAGAGACAGGTGGATCTCTGTGAGTTTGAGGCTAGCTTGGTCTACAAGAGCTAGTTCCAGAACAGCTAGGGCTGTTACACAGAGAAACCCTATCTCGAAAAAACAAAAAAGAAAAAGAAGACAAAACCAAGACTCTATAGAGTTCCTGAAAGCCCACACTCCACAGTCAGTGAAACTCAGCCATGACCTGTGCACCCAGGAGTTGCCAGAGAACAGCCATGTGAGTTCATTTCTTTTTCACAAAGAGAACAGGAGCACCAGGGCCATTGCCAGGCTGTGTGATTCCCCTGCAGTGACACCCTTGCTTTTGGAAATGGAAGAATCTGGGCTGGTTAGCAGTATTGTCTGCTGTGTCTCGGTATTTAGGTGGCACATACCCTCATTCCATACTGTCTAAAGCCACTTGTCCATCCCCCATAACAAATACCTGTTCTCTGCCCCAAACAGGCTAGAACCCTTCTCTGAGCAAAACAGGAACAGTGTAGTCTGGGTTCCTACCCCACTCAATCCTGTCTCCACAGCAGTCTTCCTTGACGTGGCCCAAGGCCTCAGAGGTGACTGTGACTCTGAGAGTCACGTCTTGGTAGATCTAAGCATATGGCCCCAGGTCTGTGGGAAGATACTGCACCTCATGTCTTGAGGCATCTCTGTCTGGACAACCCATTTCTTAGACCTAGTTAAGGCCAGAACCACCCAGGGCAATCGCTCACCCAGCTAGAGGTTCGAGTCCCGATCCGAAACTAGACGTGGGAGTTGTGTCCCTGACTCTTGCCCCAAACCCTGCGGATGCTTGTAGTAACAATGCATCCCTCCCTCTTGTGATCAGTTGACCTCAAGGTGCCAGGCCCTTCTCCACCTCCAGCAAGTGAATCGCACTAATAACAGCTTTCCTTGCCTCTGAGCATCATGGGAGATGAGGTTGAGGTCATCTGTGATGGTGTATGGCCTCTTTTATAAACTCTTCTGTAGTATTATGTTAATAGGTGTCAAAAGCAGGTCTCCAGAAACTGTTATGGCACCTGCAAGCTCACAGACCAATCTTAGATAAATTCAAGAATTAGCGAAGGACTTGACTTTTAGAAAGTCTCTGATGCTTCTCCACTGTACTGACCTCAGGCAAGGGAGCTCTCTAGGAGCATGCCTGGGCTCCTAGGCTTCTCTGCTGCGGTGGGAAATGCATAGCACATGCACACGTGTGTGCGCGCGCGCGCGCACACACACACACACACACACACACACAAATGCGCATGCGTGTGTGCACGCACATGCCCCAGTACTAAGGTTAAGGAAGGAGGTGGCATGCTTCCTTGGATCACCTAATCCTTCTTTGGCTTACTGGCCATGAGCCAAGGTTGTTTGGCAGCATGTGGAAAAATTTATTAAAAGAACCAAGAGAAAATGGGACAGTTCTGTGAGAACTGTTTCCTAGCTCAGACTGAGAGCCTGACACTTCTTTACCTTCGGTCAGGACTTAGCATCATACTGCTTCTCGGCAGTGTGAATAGTTCCTTGCTGGTGGCCAACCCACGGGTGGGAAGGTTCCCAGCAACCCTGACTTCTGCCCAGCAGCCGCCAGGAGCATTTCCTCCATTGTAACAAGCCAGGTCGTCTCCAGATGAGCCCCCACCTCATCCCAGTGTTGAATAATATATGTCATGGCATCAGATGGCATCTGCACCCAGCCGCTGGAAGACCGCTCTGAGTACCTCTCTGGCAGCTTACAAAGTCTATATTTTTATCTAAAACACATGGGCAGAATAGCCTTCAAAATGACAAGAGAAAGATGAACTCGAGCCATGCAGGAAGAGCCCGGCTGGCCGCTGCTACCACACCAAGTAGAACGTCTTCAGAGTTGTCAGTCAGCCTGAGGAGATGGGAAGTGCTGAGCTGATCGTCATCAGTACCTAAAAGGATGCTTGTGTTCTCAGCAGGAGCAAGCACAAACCGGCTTCTTAGGAAGCAGAGCTCTAGTTCCTCCTCATACCAAGCTCCCCTTGCCAGAGAAGGTGCTGACAGCCATTGGTTATCTGTGACAGGCCAGGTATCCTATGCAGGGTTTGCTCATGCCCAGTGGCCTCACTGGGTCCTCACCATCACCCAGTGAGAGTCGTCATAACGTGCCTGTCGTGTAGACAAGGAAGCCAGAGCTATGTTTGGAGTCCAGGGCAAGCTGCCTGGTGACGATCCCCTCTCTCTCATAGGTCATGATGCTAGGCTCAGTGCCAGAATTACACGGCTACATTGACAAGTCACAGCTGACCGAGGACCTCGGGGGGACCCTGGACTACTGCCACTCCAGGTGGCTGTGCCACCGCACAGTGAGTGGACCGGGCGCTATGTCACCATATTCTCACTAGTTCATAATTAACCCAGCGGAATTCTTTTCACATGACAACACTGCCTTTTAAAATACATGCTCACTGAAGTTTCTTCCCCAAGAATGAGGAGATGGTCCCAGTAGACCTTAGTCATTGTAAAGAAATAGCATGAGTAATAACCCCGGGCGTGGCTTTCTGGGCTTGGAGAAGAAGAAAAAAAAAAAACCTACCAAGCCCTATGTCGTTGTGGTTTCCGACACTCACAAGTCTCCTAACTAGGAGGTGGAGGCAGAGACCCTGAGCCGAGAATGACCCTGGGTGGCAGGGACATTTCCAAAGCCTTCTTGGTACGTTTCTGAGGGAAGCCCGAGGTTGAGACACTCCTGGGAAGGTATTTGCTGGCACACTGTGTCCACAGGGCTTGGGGGCCACTCTCTCCTTTCCAACGACAGTCATGGTATCAGCTTTCAGGGCTGCAGGCTGCGGGCTGTGTGCAGGATTCTGTGACTGTCTTCTCCCTTCTCCTAAGGCAATCGAAAGCTTTGCCCTGATGGTGAAGCAGACAGCCCAGATGCTGCAGACCTTTGGGACTGAGCTGGCAGAGACAGAACTGCCGAACGATGTCCAGTCAACCAGCTTGGTGCTCAGCGTTCACACAGAGAAGAAGGCGAAGGCGAAGGTGGGTACCGTTTAGGGACCCAGGTTCTGAGCAGGGAAATGCGATACTAGAGGCAAGATGTCAGGTGAGTTGCCGCACGGGAAGACCAGGGGCAAGCAAGTCTCTGAGACGCTAGAGATACTGAGAACTGACTGTAACTGTTTTTCAAAGCTCCAGAAGTGAGCCCTGTTGAAACGTGTTGTGTCCATGGGCGGCACCCCTCAGCCCAGAAACCCCAAAGGGTTTCAGAGTCTCTAAAACCAAGACCAGAGCAGTTGCCGATGGCTGTGCACTGTGGGAGGTGGGGGGACGGGGAACAGCTCCAGTGTAACCAGACAGGGTCTCCACCCTGGTTCCTCTCACCAGTGACTGGTGAGGTTATGGTTGACTTGCTGCTCCCAGCACCATTGTGCTACCAACTCACATGGCTCTCTAGGGCAGAGACACTCTCCATCACGGGCCGTAGATATCTGCATGACTGGTGGCGTTGACAGCGGGGTTTGGGTGGCTACTGTGTGTCCTAAGGGTGGTGCTCCATCTCTGCCATGTGTGTCACCCACTCCTTAGAAACAGACTTTTGCCTGCACAGCAGGGCCAACTCCAGGAGAGGGATGGTTAGAAAGCCTGGTTTCCAGTTTCCTTTTGACCTTATTCCCGTGTCCTGAGTGTCCTGTAACCCTAGCTTTGTGGCAGCAAGCAGGAGTGTGGCAGTTTATATATGTATATAATTTAATTCTTTGAGAATCTCATATATGTGTGCAGTACACATATACAGTTGGCAGTTTTCAATGCACTCTGTGGTCAGACAAAAGGGTCAGTTTGCACCCACAGGGCATCGTGCCCCCGTCCCAGGCTGTCCCCACTTACTCAGTGTTGAGACCTGAGCCCAGCTAGCTGGCTGCACTACAGGCCCTGTGTGCACTCTCTCTGCAGGAGGATCTTCAGTTGGCACGGAAGGAGGGGAACAGCATCCTTGAGAGCCTCAGGGAGCCACTGGCGGAGAGCACGTCCCACAGCGTGAACCAGGACCAGCTGGACAACCAGGCCACTGTGCAGAGGTAAGGCCTGCACCCTCCTGCCCTACCTTGCCCTGGCCTGACTTCTGCAGGTACACAGCCATTGTGAAGGCATTAGACTAATACCCAAGGTTGTTGCAACAGATCCCAGCAGCTAGCCTTCTGGCTCATTTCCCTCTCGGGCTTGGAGTGGACCCCAGCACCCATGATAAAGGGGACGGGAATCGAGAGCAGACAGTCTCACAGACAGGAAAACGCTGGGCAAGCAGCAGCCCCTTATACTCCAATGGCTCCTATATCCCCAGTGAGTCATTATAGGCAGGAGAGCGGTTCCCGTACCTGTGTTCCAGCCTTGTGCAGGCATCTTATGCTCGCAATAAAGGATCCTGTCTGTATTTCTCACTGGTTCCCCGTGTTTATAGCGGAGCACAGGACAGTGCCGTCAGTCAGTGTCTGTTGGTGCTCCCCAATACTTTGGCATATCTAGAGCCCCACATGCCTCGTGGCTTTATATCCTCACCATGCTGCAGGCTAGATGGCTGCCGTTCCCACCTACAGGACAGACTCAGAGCACCTGTGTGGACAGAACTTGCCCAGAAACCCAACAATAGGCAGCCAGGCTCTTGGCTCTTGGCTTTCGCTTGATTTTTTCCCACATGGGTCGTGGCTGTATGCACAGCAGGCATGTTGTATTGGGAGCGTGGGCACCAAGGCACATGGTAGGGCACTAAGGCTCACTAGCAGGAGATCTAGGCAGGTCTACCCTGGGGAATTTATCAACTCCACCAACACTAGGAGAAGGGACGGGTAAGGTGGTGCTGCTTGGTTCTATTTAGAGTCCCTTAGCAATCCGTAATCCTGGGGTAAGAGTGAGGGTGGCAGACACCAGCTCTAGAGCTGGACAGCAGACTGCACCCTGGCCCAGGTGGTCAGCAGTAAACACAGTGGCCTTTCAAAAATTGATCATGCTTGCCATGCAAATATGAAAACCTGAGTTAGGGTTCTCAGTAAAATAGCCTGCTCATATTTGCCAGTACTGTGGAGTGGAGACAGGCAGATTCCTGGAGCCCACTGGCCAGCTGTTCTAGGAGAATTGGCCAGCTCCAGCTTCAGCGAGAGATCCTGTCGCAAATAACGAGATGAAAAGCAACTGAAGAAGATACCTGGTGTCAACCCCTGGTACACACACACACACACACACACACACACACACGCGCGCGCGCGCGCGCACGCACATGTGTGTGCGCATGCATTCGCAAACAGAGTTCTGTGTAACACAGGTTGGGGGGCTTGTGATCTTGTCTGAAGTGCATCTCCCTCATGTCTCTGAACTGAGGACCCTAGGAGTCAGCGACAAGGCCAAGACATCGCAGGAAAGCTTGTCAGGGAGACCCTTGTGTACCCTGGGAGGCACAGTCTCCCTCATTCCTGTCCCCTCTTCCTCTCTCACTCAGGCTCCTGGCCCAGCTGAACGAAACTGAGGCTGCCTTCGATGAGTTTTGGGCAAAGCATCAGCAGAAGCTGGAACAGTGCCTGCAGCTGCGGCATTTTGAGCAAGGTTTCCGGGAGGTGAGTGTCTGGGCCGCGAGGTGTGGGATGCCGTCTTTCAGGAAGTGAGGATGGTGGGTCTGCCTGTAGGCCTGAGGACTTTGGCTGAGCCCTGATGGCCCCCATCAGCTTGCTGCTGTCGGGGATCCCAACCCTTCCCCTCCTGAATGAGACACAGGTGCTCCAAGTCAGTCTTCCTCTGCCTCAGGTCAAAACTACCTTGGATTCCATGTCCCAGAAGATAGCCGCCTTCACTGACGTTGGCAACAGCCTGGCACACGTGCAGCACCTCCTGAAGGACTTGACCAGCTTTGAGGAGAAGTCCAGTGTGAGAGTCCGGCATGGGTGGAAGGGGGGGTAGTCACAGCAGAGGGCGCAGGACATAAGCTCCTGTGGCACCTGAGGGGTACCATTGGCAGTGTGCGAGACCCCAAAGTGCCCTCCTCCACTCAGACATACATCCTATCTGCCACAGCCCCTTTGTCTAGATCTCTCCTTATTACCTGTGTTTACTCTAGACCAGGCCAACCCAATACCATCCTGACCTTCGGAAATTTGGCCTCAGACTGGCTTAAGGATTTGGTGAACTCAGTCAGCCATCACAGTTCACACACTCCACGTCCATCGCCCACTTCCAGTCCGACACCCATAGGACTATTACCTCATTTGTCTCTCCACATAGGACTAAACTGCTATCTTGACGTGTTGTGCAGGTGGCTGTGGACAGGGCCCGAGCTCTGTCGCTGGAAGGCCAGCAGCTGATTGAGAACAAACACTACGCTGTGGACTCCATCCACCCCAAGTGTGAGGAGCTCCAGCACCTCTGTGACCACTTCGCCTCCGAGATCACCAGGAGGAGGGCCCTTCTCAGCAAGTCCCTGGAGCTGCACAGCCTCCTGGAGATGGTAGGAAACCCAGCTGCACTTCTCTGAGCTAATGGGCCAAACCAGCTATTGTCCCTTACCAGCAAGGGGACAGCCAGAGCGCCCTCCCCTTTGCATCCTCTGTCTTGTCCGCTCAGAGCATTGGTCCTCACACACTCGCTTGTTCCAGCAATGATTTCTTAGGAGCAACCTCAGCTTAGGCTTGCTGTTAGTCCTATGGAGAGTTCAGCCCAGAAGCCCACTCAGTTTTGCAGACTCACGTCCCCTCTGGGCACTGTTTGTCTCGGTGGCAGAGAGCCTCCTATCCTGAGAGCACCATCAGTCAGGAGGCAGGAGCGGGAAGCACACAGCTCCAGCAGGCAGCCACACTGGCGAAGGACGGTGCCACAGGTCCTGATGCTGACAGCCTTTCTTTGTTTCCAGTCGATGAAGTGGTGTGACGAGGGCATCTTCCTGCTGGCCTCGCAGCCTGTGGACAAATGCCAGTCCCAGGATGGCGCCGAGGCCGCCCTCCAGGAAATCGAGAAGTTTTTGGAGACTGGCGCAGAGAACAAGATTCAGGAGCTCAATAAGATTTACAAAGAATATGAATGCATCCTCAACCAGGACCTTCTGGTAATGCCAGCGTGGGTACCCATCTGGGGCCTGAGAACTCACTCCATGGGATATTTCAAAGGGCATGTTTTTGAGTTGCAGGGCCTCACACATGCTAGGCAAGCCCCCTTTCAGTGAGCTATAGCCCCAACGCTTAAAGAACCCTTTGAGTAGGAGTTGGCGGTTGCTGGGTAGAAGTTCAGGGGTGGGGATTATGAAGTCCAGCCCTTCCTCCGTTGCAGAAGTTATTCTAACCATGCCACCATCTCCCCCAGCATCGCCTGGGATAGGTGTGATTTGTGGTGTGGCACTCACTGGAACCCTGATGGTGCCATAGTACTTCTGATATCACACCAAAGATGGGCTGGCTTCTCTTCGCCCCTCAGCCAGCTGCCCTAACTCTGCTTCTGAGTCAATAGGAAGAAACTGGTCCCTTTCCATGGCCGTCCTCTCGGAGCAGATGGCTCCCCGTCCTGCCATGGGTTGTCACACAGCTCTCGCTGTCTGACCCGAGCTGGTGAGCGCGCTGCACTGTTCACAGACACGTCCCACTCACCCGAAGCCGAGGATGCTGCACACACTGACACTCTCTGGGCATCAGGGTGTACTTTAGGGCCAGCACTGACCTTTGCAAGATCTCTCAGTAGCTATGTCGTTTCAGGAACATGTGCAAAAAGTCTTCCAGAAGCAAGAGAGCACTGAGGAGATGTTCCACCGCAGGCAGGCCAGCCTGAAGAAACTGGCAGCCAAGCAGACGCGGCCTGTGCAGCCTGTGGCCCCCCGACCAGAGGCGCTCACCAAGTCCCCCTCCCCCTCACCAGGTACGTGTGGCCCCTTCCTCCCAGGCAGCGTCTGAGGAGGCCAAACATGCCAAGTCTTGTCACTCTCCCTCCCTGTTCTCTGTGTCCCAGTCCACGGTCTGCAGCCTGCAGTCCAGGACTTATTCTCCTCTGCCACCCATTTTGGTTAATAAAGCTTCCCCGGAACCCAGCCCTGCTATACCACATGTCGTCAGCTCTGACTGCCTCTTTGCTTTGGCCACAGCAGAGCTGGGTCCTTTCCGCTGAATCTCGGTGACCTTCAGAACTGGAGACACCGACTGACACTTTAGGAAAGGTCCTCAGTCATTCCTTCTGACTCAGTTTCTCCCCCTCTCTCCATTATCTGCGCTGCTGCCGGAACTGTGCCCCTGGATCAGCCCTCAAGGCTGTCACTAACTGTGGAACCTTGTCTCAGACCCATGAGCTGCAAGGGAGTTGTGGCCCGCTAACTTCACCTTTGCCTAGAGACTTCCTCCTCCCTACATAAGGAGAGCGTTCTCCCTTCCACTCCGGGGCAGCAGCCCAGAGATGAGTAGGCTTGGGTGCCTCTGTGTGGTCCCCAGCTGCCATGAATGCCCTGGGGAAGCACCCCATTAGCATCTGTGGTGGAGGAGACCTGCCTGCTGGCCTGTGGAGAGATCCCCCTAGCCAGGAACTCAAAGGTTTTCAAGTGCCAGCGTGTTTTCTCCCTCTTGCCCACTGTCTCCCTGTCAGCTAGAACTGTTCTCATTCTTGAGGCTGTGGAGGCCCCAGACAGTGGCCCCTTCAGGTAGATCTCCATCTCTCACCCACGACCACTCCTTTCTTCTGTCTTTATTGCTATAGTCCTTTCTTCTCCCCGCCCCCCGCCCTGTACAGTTTTCGGCAGAGTTAACCCCCTTCTCTGCCTCTTTCTAAACTAGGCTCCTGGCGAAGCTCTGAGAACTCCAGCTCTGAAGGCAGCGCACTCCGCAGAGGGCCCTACAGGAGAGCCAAGGTGAGGCTCACCCCACGATTACCCCGCAGGTGTCAGTTGTCCGTAGCTGCAGCACGTTATCTCAGCATCCTCTGGTTGTAGTCTGTCCCTCTGGGTCTCCTGGACTGCGGGGCATCTACTTGCCCTCTCAGACTCCATCCAAGTGGGCCATGAGGCTGGGCAGTCGGCATCTGAGACAGGGCTTTCCATTCCCAAACCCACCGTGCTGTTCTCTCCTCAGAGTGAAATGAGTGAGACCCGGCAGGGCCGCAGCAGTTCCACCGGGGATGAGGAAGAGAACCTGGCCATCCTGCGCAGGTGAGTGACCACTCGTGTCTGGGTGTTGGCGACACAAAGATGACCAGCCACCCTTCTACCCAGACATGCAGAGCAGGAAGGAGTCTGGCACCGTGTGCGTGTCAACTGAAAACAAACACGTGGGCGTGGGACATACACACACACACACTCATTTGTCGGGGCTGGGCTGGCGACCACCTGAGCCCTTCCTGGGCCTCCTGCCACTGTTTTGCTCTATGGAAACTCATACCTGCTCACAAAGGCACCTGCAGAGGAGTGGGCTGAACGCTACGACATACTCAAGATAGGCACTCAGAAAGTCCCCACTGAAGCCTGCCTGTGCATCCACCTCTGGGTGTGTCGCTTCCCTCATGAAGTCTCTGAGCAGTATCCAGGCTAGGCAATGTGAACACAAGAAGTTAAAATCAATCGCACAGAAGGCAAAACACCCTGGGGTGGGGCAGTGGCATCCAGGAACTGGGGTCATGACAGCGGAATGGAAAGAAGTGATCAACCCTGTTCTGGGCTCGTTCTTGGCGTTTGCTCCAAATACAGTAGGGATAGAGCAGGGGCCCTCGGAAGCTCGTGAGCAGACAGCTGTGCACAGACAACTGGTTTCCAGATGTCCCCAGCAAGCTCAGCAGTGCCCCCCTTAGGAGATACAGACAGAGTGAATTATGGAACTAGAATACCAGCTGAAAGGGACATGAATTTGTCATTCCTGGCTTCTGATGGAAGATGACAAGCAAGAGGCAGAGAAGGGTAGAGAGAGAAGCTCCCAGGCAGGCGGCCCTTGCGCCCAGGCAGTTTGTGGCTGAGATGCAGGCCCAGGCTTCTTTGCTCTGCAAACCCAGGCTCACATGCGAGGCCTAGTTACTTGATTGTTGGCTTCTTTATAATCCATGCCCAGGTCTCTGTCCAGTAGCCCATGGGCTATGGCCTTTGTGGATGAAATGGACAGGTTGGCTATAGGTATTGGCAGGCGGTCCTTGTCTCTGAAAGGCACGAATGGCCGGATGCTTTGTAAGCCAGTCTTGATCTGCTTTGGGGCTCCACGAGTGCTGGGCACATTGCACGGCTGCAGAGAGTCACCACATAGCCATCGCAGGCAGGGTAGGAGCTGGCCCTGCTCCTGAAGAGCCATGCCCATTCAGAGGCTCTGGGGTGGGGGTGGGAGGTCTTCTTGGTAAGGATGTCCTGACAAGACTCCAGTGGCTTGTGACAGAAGCTTACTCCCCAGTGTGTGTGAAGGTGGCATCAATTTTGTGCAGATGGCCCCAGAAGGCCAGAAGGTGGCTAGAGGAATTGATCCCAGAAAGCAGGGGAAGCAGGAGGCCATTGTCAGCAGGGAGCCAGGGAGCCAGGGAGCCAGCTTCTCCCACAGCTCCCATACTGGACCAGGCCTCGATGCCATTTCTTCCTTCACAGACAAGTCTAGGAACTCAGTGAGTCCTGATGGCCATTCCCACGCTAACATGCTTGCTCTTCCATGTCCACCCACAGACATGTGATGAATGAACTCCTGGACACGGAGCGGGCCTATGTGGAAGAACTGCTCTGTGTCTTAGAGGTAAGGCTGGGCATGGGCCAGGCGGTAGGGTCGCTATCATACTATAATAGCTTCGTTTTTAAATTGTTGCTACGGTTAGGCCTGTTGACAAAGACAGATATTTCTAGTAACTCAGGAGACCAAGGTAGGAAGATCATAGGTACAAAGTCTACCTGAGCTATAGAGCAAGTTCAAGGTCAGCTTGAAGACGCCACCTCAAAAAGTGAAAAGAGCATTTGCCTGGCGTGTGCGTGGTCTTGGTTTCATTTCCAGCACCACCACCACTACACACATGCACACATATACACATGCACACACACACATATACACACATGCACACACATGCACATGTGCATATACACAAATACACATATACACACACATTATATACACACATGTCTATCACATATACAAAAGGTTTTTTTTTTTAAATGCTGCTTAGAAATCAGAACTTGCTGGGCAGTGGTGGTGCACGCCTTTAATCCCAGCACTTCGGAGGCAGAGGCAGGTGGATCTCTGTGAGTTCGAGGCCAGACTGGCCTACAAAGCTAGTTCCAGGACTGCAGGACTGCCAGGACTGTTACACAGAGAAAGCCTGTTTCAAAAAAAAAAAAAAAAAGAAGAAGAAGAAGAGGAGGAGGAAGAGGAGAAGGAGGAGGAGGAGGAGGAAGAAAGAAAGAAATAGAAATGAGGACTTACACCCACAGCAAAGAACATGAAAATGTTCACAGCTAGTCTGCTTGTATCCAGCCCAAACCAGAAACAGCCCGAATTCCATCAGCAGGAACAGTGGCCTGGCCTGCACAGGAGCAGATATATCGGCCACAGGAGCACTGCCCGTGCACATAGCAAACACAGGACCCACACGACCACAGTGACAGTGATTGGCATCACAGGAAATGGTGCGCACAGTTCTGTGGATGGTGTGGCGGTGCATCCCATCATCCTGGCTCTCAGAAGCTAAGGCAGAAGGCTCACCGTGAGTTCCAAGCCAGCCTGGGCTACATAATAAAGTCTAGGCCAGCCAGGGCTATAGAATGAGACCCTGCCTTATCTCCACTCCCACCCTCCAAAACAAGAGGATGAAGAAAGAGAAAGTTCAGAGCAAGGCAGGAGGGCAGGTCTGGAGTAATAGGATTTTGAGGAGGGGACACTGGGTCCTGAGTCTTCCTAGTAGTACAGGAAGTTAATAGACACATTGGATACACACACGTGCAGCATGGCCTCTTGCCTTGTGTCTTTTACACCTGGTTAAAAGGGTTAGGGAGGAGGATGGGAGCGTCTCCTGGCTGACTGCCTATTTCTTCCTTGCAGGGCTACGCCGCAGAGATGGACAACCCCTTGATGGCACACCTCATCTCAACGGGCCTGCAAAACAAGAAGAGCATTCTGTTTGGAAACATGGAGGAAATCTATCACTTCCATAACAGGTAGGCCCTCCATCGGGACATAGATACACATGGTGTCTATGGTCTCTTGCTTCTGATATGGCCCTGGGAAGTACTTGACCAGGAACAAATCTCTCCAGGGAGAGCTCACAGAGGGACATGGGCGCGTGTAGCAGGTGTCCATGATGCATTCTCCAACCTCCTTTGTGACCTCCTGTCCTGCTGGCTAGCACCCACAGTGGCCTGGTGACTGGCCAGCTGTCTACTGGGAGGACAGTGGTACTTCTGGGAGGACAGCAGTTCAGCCCTGATGTTTTCTTTTTAATACTTGGGAGCTCCAAAGGCCATGTCCTTTAGCAGGATTTCCAGATGTGCAAGGGAAGCAGCTGTCCACCCCATCCTCCTGCAGCTGCTCCTTTCCAAGAACATCTAGAGCCTTACCGTTAGCATCACTGAGGCTAGTCCTTGACTCAGCCCCACTGGACCCCATGCAGCCTTGTGTCCTGGGATCTCCCCAGAGGACAGATGCGAGTCAGTGTTTAGACAGGAAACACAGTGAGGATCTGGTGAGTCCCGGAAAACCCACATGCTCATGGCCGGCGTGTAGGGCCTCCAGAGTCTTCACGTGTTCAATCCCCTTTCTTCTCACCTCTGCCCCCGGAAGGGTAGCTCAGTATGAACTACAAGGCCAGAAATAAAGGGAGACAGCCTGGGCCGTGGGCACTGAGGAGCCAGGGATGGTAGTCTGCAGGCTCCCCGGCCAGATGGGGAGTCGCTGCCACCTTGTAATGAGATCGTTCAGGGTCTCTGGAAGACAGCGTCATCTGATTCCACTGTGTCCATCTCACTGGGAATCTCTCTCTGCAGAATATTCCTGCGGGAGCTGGAGAGCTGCATAGACTGCCCAGAGCTGGTGGGGAGGTGTTTCCTGGAGAGGGTACGTATCTCTGAGTGCATGCCTCATGGGCAGTGTATATCTCTTACCTCCAAGGAGCCCTGAGTGGACATTATGAAGTGGGGGAGGGCCTTGGTACCTCCATATCAAGGGCCATGGTAGCACCTTGCCTGCTTCATCAGAGCTGCTCACCAGATGGCTTCAGCTCCCCTGCAGCCCCCCGCAGCTGAAACCAGAGAGCACAGTGTCTCCAGTGTCATGGGAAGAGGAGAAAAAAGGGAATAGGATCATGCTTTGAAGGCTAATAACTACTTCAGCAAGAAAAAGACCATGAAGCTCAACGTTTGGGGATGAGGAAATCGCTGCTTCCGAGGCCTGATGCAGAACTTTCCTTGTGGACTAGTTTAGTTTTGTCTAAGCCTTGCTAGCTGGGCGACAGTGGAGTAGGCACTGGGGCTCTCTATCTATTTCCTCCCCCTTGGAATCATAGGGGTTTCCCTCAGAGGACAGTAGAGATGAGTTTAAAGAGAGCCGCGTGTGGAATGTTTAGAGCACAAAGAGTGGACCATACACATAGCTTCTCAACCCCATGGAGGATTGTCACGCTGAGCACTGTGACTGTGACTGTGAGATTCCCAGGTACAGGAGGGAGGCCACTGGCAGGAGAAAACAAGGCAATGTCACAAAATACAGAACAGGAGGAGCCTGGGGTACAGCTCAGTGGTAGAGCCCTTACCCAGCACATACCAGGTCCCAGGTTCCATCCCCACACTAAAGTGGAGAGTGGGCAGGAATTGGGTGCTGAAGTTCTAGTAAGTTGCTACAAGGGTAAGACATGGTGGTGCACACCTTTACACCTTCAACACTAGAAACTTAGGTGTAGTAAGTCTCTGTGAGTTCAAGACCAGCAAAGGATACATAGTGAGACCATCTCAAAGTAGAAAGAAAAGAAGGATATATGTTTGTCTGGCCATTAATGTGTCTCCAGAGTCCCAAACCTGAAGTGGTCATCATTCTGTAGGTCACAGGTTCCCAACCAGCAGCATCAGAGTCCCCCATGCAATGTTTACAACCCTCTATACTCCAGAACATTCTATTCTACCCTCATTCATACTCGAGAGCTATAGGAGTCCCCTGGAGATACCCGGGGTAATTTTGTTTTACTCTGAGCTCATGGATGCTCTTACAAAATAACTTAGAATGCTTCTCAAGTCTGTAGCACAGTGCTTGGGCCAAGCTCTGAAATTCCTCCTAGACAGTAGGGGTCTGTGTGGGTCCATGCTCCTGAACAGCTCCTCACTCTGGTGAGAAGTCAGCTGTGTGGAACTTATTCTGAGATAATGAAGAGGGAATTAGGACTAACAGAGCCCTAGGAAGTGACCTTCTGATGGGAGGTGTTGCCCAGCTGTCCAACAGTGAGGGTGGGGTGATCTGGGGTCAGAGAGGCCAACACTAGCAGAGGTGGGGAGCAGGCTGCCTTCTGTCTTTGGAAGTGTCAGTGTTCCGCACTCTGCAAGTGCCACAGTCTGCCAGCTTTGGCAGCTGTATCATGAGGGAGACTGAGACACAGGACCCCTGCCAGCAGGCAGCTGAGGCTGCCCTGCCCCTGTCCCTCCTCCATGCATGCTTGACCTCAGCTCAGAGCTGATAGGGGTCAGATAGGTTAGGGATGACATTAGGAATCTGAGGTCAGGAGGACCCCAGGTCAAAGGGAGAGCAGGGCATCCAGGGGTAAAGAATGCAGGAGTTCGGGCCCTGCAGTCCTGCTGAAGCAAGCCAGGCTAGGTGGGCTCACGGCACCACTAAGCTTACCCTTGCCCTAGAGTCCTAGAATCCATAAATCATTGAGGTTATACTCCCAAACCCATTCCATGCCTCAGGAACATCTGTGCCCCAAACCATTTCCAAAATCTGTGTCTTAAATTGTGTCCCCAAACCATCTGTACCCCCACACTGTCTTTATCCCAGAGCCCCCTGCATTCAGATCCAAGTATCCTAGGAATGTCTGTGATCTCAAGCCATATGTGTACCCTATAGACCCAGAGCCCTCTGTACCACAAAATCATCTGTAACCCCCAGAGCAATTGATTCTAGGCCTAGCTACATTCTAGAACCTTCTACATCCCATAATATATTATGTGAATATTTCATTTCACACATAATATTCACGTTTATTTTTTGATGTGTATATATGTATGCCTACATGTATGTATTTACAGTGTGTGTGTGTGTGTGTGTGTGTGTGTGTGGTGTCTGCAGGAGACAGAAGAGAGTACTGGCTTCCCTTGAACTGAAGTTACAGGCAGTTGTGAGCTGTCATGTGGATGCTGGGGACTGAACCTATGTCCTCTGTAAGAGCAACCAGTGCTCTTAACCAACAAGCAATCTCTTGAGTCCTGCTCAGGTGTATTTCTACAGAATAACCTGTATAATTTGTAAGACTGCCTGAGAATGCCCTGGAGTCTTATGTACATGAACATATGGTTTCAATAAACCACGTCTTGGCAGAGCTCGCTCTCCGCTTCTCTGGGCTGTGAATGAGCAGTGGCAAGGGGGTTAGAGTGTGGGACTCCGGTGTTGGTGAACAGCCTAGCTTGGGGGGGTTAGAGTGTGGGGCTCCGGTGTTGGTGAACAGCCTAGCTTGGGGGGTTAGAGTGTGGGGCTCTGGTGTTGGTGAACAGCCTAGCCTGGGGCGGTGCCCAGTGAGGCTGAGAAGCATCCTGTGCTGTCTCTGCCCCTCCCGGCTCTAGATGGAGGAGTTCCAGATCTACGAGAAGTACTGTCAGAACAAGCCACGGTCCGAGAGCCTGTGGAGACAGTGCTCTGACTGTCCCTTCTTCCAGGTTTGTCTTGAGTCCGTCCCCTACACTAGTAGCTCCTTCCTCGGGGCCTCGGACAGAGCCGTGGCCTTGCATGACTGAGTGTTTGGTGGTTGCAGGAGTGTCAGAAGAAGCTGGACCACAAGCTGAGCCTCGACTCCTACCTGCTGAAACCTGTGCAGAGGATAACCAAGTACCAGCTGCTGCTCAAAGTGAGCCTGCAGGGCTTCCCTGGGTCGGCCACACCTGCCTGCTGGCCAGGTGTCTGCAGGGGCCCAGGGTCTTGAGACTTTTCACCGAGCCCTGGCCCTAAGGCCAAAGGCACCTCTAATGAGCCACTTGTCCTCCACGTCGCCGTGGCCCTAATTCATTCATTCATTCATTCATTCATTCATTCACGGCCTGTTGTGGGCTAGGCATTGTAGAGTGCCAGGGACATAGCAGTGGCCAGCTATACCAGGAGCCTGTGCTAATAGCCTGTGGCCTCTCGGGGAGGAAGGAGAGGGGGGAGTTGAGCCCTGTCTGTCCATTGGTCCCTAGCACGGTGGGGAGTAAGGAGTCTGTCCTGGAGTTTGCTCGGTGTGGCAGGGCAGAAAAGGGTCTGTAGCACTGTGCCTTTAGCAGAGCCTGCCAGCAGCGGGAGGCAAGTGTGATCAAGTGTGCACAGAAGTGCCGTAAGTGTGAGAAGCTGCCATCCTGGCTTCAGGGAGGGAAGGGTTAAAGGGTTGGTGTGCCATTGCCTGTCCAGGGGCCACACCAGGATTCCACAACCCCGTCTGAGTCTGAATCTGTGGACCAGTCCGCTGCTCCTGGAGGTGCAGAGGAAAGATCTGGGTGTCTAACTGCACCCTCTTGTATTCCCCCTCAGGAAATGTTGAAGTACAGCAAGAACTGCGAGGGGGCAGAGGACCTGCAGGAGGCGCTGAGCTCCATCCTTGGCATCCTCAAGGCGGTGAACGACTCCATGCACCTCATCGCCATCACTGGCTATGACGTAAGGCGCCAGGCTCTGCAGCGGCACCACGGTGCCCTTTGTCCTGTCGGGAACCGTTTGGTAGGAGCAGTCCTATCAATCCTTCCGAGCTCTCCGAGTCTTGAAGTGGACACACGTGGCCCCCACACATAGCCCAGGGCCTAGGGCAGCCCCAGGTTCTGAGTCAGGAGCTTGTCCACATGTGGAGCAGGCCAAGGCTGTTCCCCCAGGAGGGTACCTCTCCAACAGGGATGCACTCCAAGACTCCTCCTCCTGTCTACTTCCTGTACCGCAGGTGGAACCCTGTGTTTTCTGTGATACAGTCTGTAGTCCAGTGGCTATGGCAGGTGGCCAGCAGGAGTTAATTTCTCTGCATGGACCCACCTCAAGTTGGCATAGAGGGGTTTTGTTTCTCTGAATGTCCATTTAGCATTCATTTTCTGTTTGTTTAAATGACTAGGTTTTATTGATTTTTTTAACAGTTTTAGATTTATTAAAATTGAGTGTGAAGCTCATATTCCCTAAACACCCATCTCTGCCCCCAGCCTCCTCCATCGTAAACTGCCGTGTTGGTGTGACACCTGACAGGCCTGTGGGGATATGTCATTAACTGAAGTCCACTGTACATCAGGGTTCTGGGCACTGTCCCGTCTCCACCGTAGTGGTATCCCATGGTTCCTCCATGCTGTGCCTCTTCTTTCCCAACCCCTGCAGCCGGCTGATTCTTTGCCACCTCCTGAGACTTGCCTGTTCTAGAATGCTGCAAGGTGAACTCTACAGCATGTAGTCTTTCCAGAGTGAACTTGGAACCCCAGCCCACCCAAGTTCACCTACCTTGCATGCCCTGACATGCGTCCTGTGTTCCAGGGAAACCTCAGTGACCTGGGGAAGCTGCTGATGCAAGGCTCCTTCAGCGTCTGGACAGACCACAAGAAGGGCCATACCAAAGTGAAGGAGCTAGCCAGGTTCAAGCCCATGCAGCGCCACCTGTTTCTGCACGAGAAGGCTGTCCTCTTCTGCAAGAAGAGGGAGGAGAACGGGGAGGGGTATGAGAAGGCTCCTTCCTACAGCTACAAGCAGTCCTTAAATGTGAGTGGCTCAACCAGCAATTTGAGGGACGGAACTTAGTCCCCAAACGAGCCTCAGTCTAACACAAAGGGTTATGGGACACCCAGCTCCTACCCATGGAAGTGGGCTTTGGGGCTCCCGCCATCCTTAGCCCTCACCCCACCCCAAATGTCCCATCAGTTTCCACCATTGCCAAATAGGATGCTCGGCTCCACCATGCACACTGATGCCTGTCCTGTCTGTTTCTGTGCCATCAGATGACAGCGGTTGGCATCACAGAGAATGTGAAGGGTGACGCCAAGAAGTTCGAGATCTGGTACAATGCAAGAGAGGAGGTTTACATCATTCAGGTAGAGCCCCTCACTTGCCCTGAAAACCAGGAACCCAGGGAGCCCTTGACCCTCTTCAGGGTGACCAGTGAGAACCAGGTCAACCATCTCCGTGAGGTTCATCCCCCAGGAGCAGGAGCTGTCACACTAGGGCGCTTCCCTGGGCCACAGGATGGAATTTGGGAACACACGCATACAGGGTGCTAGACAGGCAGTACCAGCAGTGGCTCTGGCTTCCACATCTCTTGATAGCCCTAGAGAGCTTTGCTTGTGCAGCCTGGCTCTCTGGTGGGATATACAGCCTAGCTGTCCATACCGGCCAGTGGGAGAGAGGGCAGAGTTACAAAGTAGACTCAGAATAGCATCCTCTCCATGAGACCCTGGCAAGAACCTAAGTACTCCATGAAGGTCCTAGTCCAATCTGGCTGAGCCCTTCCCTTGCCCTCAGAATCACAGGTGATTTGGCAACTGGTCAACACGCCGTAGCCATGGAAGTGTCACAGCCTTGGTGCCTTCTAGTTTTATACCCAGCCCAGAAGCCCTCACAGAGCTGCATCAAAGCTTGGGCCGAGCAGCTGCCCCAGCAGCAGTGCTCAGGTTGGGATTCAGACCTCTGTGTTAATGCAGGATAGCAGTCCTGGCTTCTCTTGATGTTCCTGACATGGTCACACCCATCTGGTGTGAGTGTGAGACTCGTGCTTGTGCCTGTCACCTAAAGCAAGGTCGAATAGAGGGCACCCCCAGGAGACCTGTTCTGCAGGCCAAGCCACCTGTGCAATTAGCCCAGTGCACCAGCATCGGCAGAAGAGTTGGCCTTTCTGCCAGTAACTGGCTCTCTTTGCCTTGCCCCTGGGCACCTTCATAAACCCACAGCCTTTTGCAGCCAGTCCTGCGCTGCAGGGCTAAGAGACCCACAAAGGGGCATTCCCACCTCCTGCTCCTTCTGTCCCTCCTGCACAGGGGTCTGCTGATCCCTAGGATTGCCCTTGAAGGTGTCTTGGAACCCGCAGCATATTTTTCTGATCACCGATTCCCATCTCTCTTTTGGAACAGGCCCCAACTCCTGAGATTAAAGCAGCGTGGGTGAATGAGATCCGGAAGGTTCTGACCAGCCAGCTTCAGGCCTGCCGGGGTGAGGCTCCCTTTGGCTTTTGTATGTTTCTCGTGTGCATTGTCAGCTACCCAACTACCCTTTAACCTGTGAGTGCACGGGAGCTCAGTTCCTGCTGCTAAGTGATACGTGGTCCTGTGTCCTTCCGCAGAAGCCAGCCAACACAGAGCCCTGGAACAGTCCCACAGCCTACCTTTGCCTGCGCCGTCCAGCACCAGGTGAGCATGGCAGCATATCCATCAGAAGCCTAGAAAGCAGACAGGCATGCTACAGTCCTAGCACAGGACACGGAGGACCTCCTGAAGCATAGTGAAACTGTCCCCAAGACCCGAGAAAAAATATCAAGGCCACTGAGATGCGTCCGCGCAAGGCCCTCCAGTGTCATCTGAGGACTATGTGTCAGTGACTTATGCCTGGACATCAGGCCCAAAGGTGCTGTCTCTAGCCCTACCTTCCTCAGCAAGCCCCCTGCTTCACAACACCCTGTCTGGATCAGTTCTCATGGTAGTCAGCATGCCAAGGCTACAGCCTGATGACAGTTGGCCACCAGCTTCGAATGAGGATGGTGCCTGCAGGATGGTCTAGGGGCCAAGATGTCCTCAGACAGCCCTGAGACATTGACCAACATGCTGTTTCTTTATTGGTCACTGGTGCCCACAGTCCCACGAAAGGGAGCACAAGAAATGTCAAGAAGCTCGAAGACAGAAAGACAGACCCCCTGAGCCTGGAAGGATATGTGAGCTCGTCATTGCCAAAGCCCCCCGAGAAGGGCAAAGGTGAGTGTCACCCGCGGTGTGACCCACTCAGGCACTGCTCACGGAATGGCCGCCAGCTAGCATGGGAGAGCTCAGGATCGCTCCAGGACACTGGCCTCTCATTCGGGGGCACCCTAAAATGAACGACTTCCCTCCACCCACCCACCCCTGAGCACAGGGCCATGGCTGGTGCCCTCTGCACCCTGTTGTCCTCCCTCCCCGAAGCTGTCTCTGCATTCTGTCTCTCCTCCCTCCTAGACGATGCGGTCCCTAGCTCTACCTCTGAAAGCTCTGCGCTTTCCAGAAAGCGCTTCACGCTGCAGGGCTTGGCTAACCTCAAAGGTCAGAAAGGTAAAGAGGCAGTACCCCCGCTGCCTTCCACACCATCTTCGTGTGGCGGCCTCTGGCGCCACACGCAGCCACACAATCACATTTCTTACCCTGTCATTCTCGCCAACCGACGCCGTGTAGACGTGGATGCCCGACGTTATCTTTTAGGGGTGCCTTTGGGATGCCGAGAGAGCCAGCCAGCTTTGCAAGTGTGGCCTGCTAAAATCTGGAGCTGCTAGCCACTTTTCCAGCTTGACCCCTTCTCCCCGCCCCCCTGCCTCACCTCGCATTTTCCCATTGGCTCTGCAGGCCTCTGCCTTTCTTGCTGCCATGACTCTTGAGTGCTCAGTGTCATGTCCAGGTGTCTTCTAGGGTGTTTGCTAGTGAACAGTGGGGGGTGGGGGGGGGAGGAAGCCTTTGAACTGAGAGCTGAAATAGCTTTGTCACCTGGGAATGCTCCGTGGTGACCGAAGCTCAGGACAGCCCTGGCGTGCCTCGGTTCTGCACAGTGCTCCCTTCAGATGCTCCAGCTCTCCCAAGTCACAGGCCTGGGTCCTAAGAATCAGAGGGTGTCTCAATTGATAATTTTCCATTGGCTTCTAATTTGATGGAAAGCAACACTTGTTCTGTCACTGCGTTCTTTCTGAAGCGGAGCTGAGGGCAGCCCCTAAGAGGATGACTGACGGCAAAGGTCACCGTCTACCGCCTCCGCTCTCTGGGCCTCCCCGCTTCCCTGTGCGGTCCCTCAGTCATTTCATCTCAGACATTTCATCTGCCTCCTCCACTCACTCGACACTTCCTCCGCTTTCTCTCTACTGTTGTTTTTGCCTCTTCCTCTTCCTGCAGCCTCTCCGACCAGTCCTGACAAAAAAGCTAAGCGGCATGAAGTAAAGAGCGACCCGACTCCCTTTGGTTTGCGAGGTAGTGCGGCAGCCCCGCCCCCGACCCCCAGCCAGGCATGCTGTCTGTGGCTGTGCAGGGCGCCTGGGATGAAAGCGCATAGATCAGACAAGCCAGGAGCAAGTGGTGGTTCATAATTTGATGCCCAGTGACAGGTGCTGGAAGATGCCACGTCCCTGCTGTCTCCGTGGCCCATCTGTGGCAAGCAGAGAGGCTCAGGCACAGCTCGGCTGACCAGTGTTAACACTGGGATCTATCTCTGGGTGCTGGTATAGGCTGCAGGTGCACTGTTCAAAGGGCCCTGGTACCTGCACCCTCCCCCAGGTCACCAGTTGCCCCAACCATGCTGGGCGGGAACAGGCAGAAGGACCAGGTCTTTGCACCAGACAGATGGCCATTCATGTGGGTCCCTGGAATTTAGCTCCACTCTCGGCTTCAGGTCCCTGCTTCCTTCTCCCTGGAAAACCCAAGGCTTCCCTTGTCCCCTGAGGATTCCCAGGGCCATCCTCATGGTACTGCCAGGCTCATTCTAACCCTCCATGCTTCAAGCCCTAATTACCCAATTTCAACCCCAGAGGTCAGCAGCTGCCAAGAGTTTGCAAGGGGGTAGATGCCCGGCTTTCTAATGCTAAGTTCCCTGTTGCTCAGGAGTTCCTTACCGGTAGTCTTGAGATGTCCTGCAAAGGTCTGTTTTTATTCATTCCTAGTACTTTCCACCCAGAACCCCAAGAATCCCTCCATGGGACATGGTGTTTGGAATGCTATTCCCACCTTGTCCCAGCTTAGTGGTTTTGTTTCTGCCAGTGTCACTTCCCCTGAGTCTGAGTGGCAACATTGTAGCCCTCTGGGTTGCAAAGAAGGAGGCCAGGTAGCATAAGAGGGCCAGTCATTCCCTTCCTTTCTACCTTCTGAAGTGCAGATGCAGCCCACACCAGAGAGAGAGAGAGAGAGGGCCGTACCAGGAGGTTGGCTAATATTCTCATGCACTCTCCCAGAATCCCCGAAGAGTGTAAAGCCACTTAATTTGAGGTCATCATGCTTCTAAATCCTTCTGTGTCCTTGACTCACATCTGGTCCCTGGACACTGCTAGACGAGCATGTTGTCCAACAGCTACAGGCAGCAGCATGATCTGGTGCTGCCATCTGGGTCAGCTGACCCTCGCGAGCGATGGTAGTTACCAGAGTGAGCTGCTGGGAGTCTCTCATAGAAACACCCAGGAAGGCAGAGATTGGGAGTCTCTCATAGAAACACCCAGGAAGGCAGAGATTTCTATATAGTATGGTCTCCAATGATGGGAGGTGTGCTTGGGAGTGTTCATCTGTTCCAGCTGCCCTTGGTCCTCGCTTCTGATTATCTAGAGGCCCCCGTGGGAGCTCTGTAGCATCATGATGAGAGATAAGGAGTCAAGCTGCCTGCACATGTGTTTGGAGCAAGACCCCTAGAACCCAGTTCTTACATGTATGCAAACCTAGTGTGGCACTTTCCAGGACCAAGTGCGCAGCTGCCCCCGGGCCCTGGAGTCTGGCCTCAGGGAGGTAGATCATAAGGGCTCTAACTAGTCCTGCCATAGTGGGGTGGACCTTGAGCCTGCACAGTTGGTGTCTGGGGAGTATGTGGGCCCGCCTGTTTCCTAGGAAGACAGAAGGGCCTTCCCAGTGTTCCTTGGCAGAGGGTTTTCATCACTGGCTCTGAGCGTCCTCAGCCATGGGAGTGGCTGCGGGTCTAGCAGTCCCCTCTGTTGCCCTGATTTCATGGGGGCTCTTCTGTAACTCCTTCACCCCCACACTGCACCAGCACCTAGTACAGTACGACACCAAGGCACTAGATGCAGCTCCAATGAGCAGGCTGGCTTTCCTTGCTCAGCTTTGCTGTGTGCTGACGTGTCCTCCAGTGTCACACAGTGACTGTATTTAGTACCAGGAAGGTCAGGGTAGTCGCCTCATCCTATCACTGTCTGAGGAATGTGCTCCATAAGAACTTGACATCTCCATCTTTCCAAAAAGGGGAATACTGATGCTGGCCTGTGGAGCAAGAGAAACAGGAATGAAGCAGTAGGAAATGTGGGGACTCTTTGGCCAACCCAGGGGATTTTCCCGGTGGCAGGACTGGGGTTGCTAGGTTAGCCACACACAGCTCGACATCCACCTGGTTGTTAACCTGTCCAGTGGGAAGCACAACTGTGTGCATCTCCCATCACAGGTCAAGGATTTAGATGATCATTCTTGCTGCAAGTTGTTTTCCCAGCAAGCAATGTGATGTTAGCCATCACGGTTTCAACTGAAGACCCCGTCCCTTTACGGGGTCCCAGTACCCAGCTTTTTATAACCGTGTAGAAGGACCCAGTGGGGAGTCAGAGCTGTCAGGTACAGCAAAGTTGATGAACTAGGAAGGTAATAGGCTCATGGTCAGATGAACTAGGAAGGTAATAGGCTCATGGTCAGATGAACTAGGAAGGTAATAGGCTCATGGTCAGAGCCTCAGGCTGTATATTCTAGGAGCTCTGTGGGCCTTGTACGGAACACACTTGGGTAGTGTTGACTGCATCGTGGGCATGGACCTCATAGGAAGCTGTTTCTCCTAGGCTGGAGCAAAACATCCCACTCTCTGGAAGCCCCTGAGGAAGACGGAGGCTGGTCCAGTGCTGAGGAGCTCATCAATTCATCGGATGCAGAGGAAGATTGTGGAGTGGGCTCCAAGAAGCTGGTAACATTGGCCTCCCTGTGGGCGGGCGGTTCAGGGTGGCCTCTGTGTCCCCTAAACAAATCCACCTTGGCCTGGGTCCTCCTCTCCGCCACTGTTCCTCGTCCAGAGAGGTGCCATGCTCACTTGGATCATGATCCTCTACCCATAGTGCCCTGTACCTGTGTGCCCAGCTACCTAGAGCTCAGGCATGGTTCACCCCTTCTTAAGGGGGCAGCTCGTACCTCACACTGGTCAAATGTTCTAACCAAGCTTTCCTAAAGCTATATCCATACTGGCTTGGAAATTAGCAAGGCACTCAGGAGCCCATAGAGACATGTAGCGCCATGGACACATTGGTGCATCCATTTTTGTCTTTAAAATGGTCACAGCATGAGTTGTACATCCCCCGAGCACTAGGATCTTTCTAGTTTAAGCCAAATCTCACCAAAACCTCACCAATGGCAGGACTCAGTACAGCACTGGCCCTTCCCTTGCTGGTCTGTGGAAACCTGCTCTCATGCAGGCGCGCCTGCTGGTGCGTAGCGAGCACTACACGGAAGATGGAGGGTGGGTGTGTTGTTGGCCTGCTGGCACTGAGAGGCACCTACAGGCTGAAGTTTTAGCTTTGCTCTTTTGCCATCCTCAGGCTCCCGGTAAATACACGGTGGTGATGGGTGACGAGAAGGAGGGCCCTGACACGCTTGCCATGAGGAGTGGAGATATGGTGGAAGTAGTGGAGGAGGGCGCTGAGGGGCTCTGGTAAGATGGCAGTGAGCTCTCCTACCTCAAACATGGCCCCCCGTGTGATCCCACCTCAGACATACATGATCTGTGTGATCCCACCTCAGACATGACCGTGTATGATTCCACCTCAGACATGACCTTGTGTGATCCCACCTCAGAGATGTCCCTGTGTGATCCCACCTTAGACATGCACCTGTGTGATCCCACCTCAGACATACATGATCTATGTGATCCCACCTCAGACATACATGATCTGTGTGATCCCACCTCAGAGGTACCCAGCCACAGGCTGTAGGCATGGGGTACGTTATAGCTACTGACTTCCCCTTTCAGGTATGTCCGGGACCTGACCAGCAGCAAGGAGGGATGGGTGCCAGCCAGCAGTCTGTCCACCCTCCTGGGCAAATCCAGTTCAGCTCAGTGTCTGAGCAGCTCAGGTAAGACCCACTGTGCACGCCAGCTGTGCCCTGAGCCTGCCAAGATCCTCAGCCCTGAGCCTGTTTAGGAGCAGAGGGTTTCTAGGCGCGCAGAGGAACGGGCCAGAGCCGAAGGCTGTCTCCACTGGTTTCCCGCAGACTCCAGTCCAGGGTCAGCCGTGCTGAGCAACTCCTCCAGCTGCAGCGAGGGCTGCCCCACCCCCTTCTCCGAGCTCCAGGGATAGTGGCCAGGCCTCTGTGGCGGGCACTCGAGGCCACCGTGCAGTAGACCAGCATGCAAATCTCTAAGTTTTCTTTTGCTTGGGCTTGCTTGGCGTGGGAGGGGATGGTGCTCAGAGACAGCCTGCGACAGGAGGACCTTATCAACCGCGGGCTTTAGCGGACACTGGGGCCTTGGCACCAGGACCCCACTGCATGCGCTGAAGCCGGGAGACAGCAGTCCACCACCAAAGCTACTTTTAAAACTCCAGAGTGGACAGAGGAGGAGGGGCTCGGGTCAGGAGACCCCTGTGCAGAAAGGTGGGAGATGCCCTTTCTCATACTTGGGCAGCCAACAGACCCTGCTGTGCAGCCTCTCCAAGGTGTCCTGACCTCTCTGGTGCTTGCTATGGGAACAGCATCCCAAGGAAGACACTTGTAACGGGATTGGACAGTTTGCTACCAACAGCCCAGAGGGGACCAAGGGGCTCTTGTCTTTTCTAAGTCTTTGATTTTTTTTTTAAACAGGGATTAATCCCATGGCCATTTTTTTGTGGCACTCTGGCCTCAAATCTTTACCAAGAATCACTGTGTTTACATGAAATGACGATTTGATACTGTATTTGATAGAAAACTATTTTTTTGTTACGGGGTTTGCATCGAAGCACGTTGTTTATACAACTAAGTGATTTCTGGGCGCTCTCCCTGAGACCTGGTGAGTCTCCACCACCAGAAGCAGCTGGAAATCACGGAGAGTCCTACATCCGTATAGGTTCTGTTTCCACAAGAAATGTAAAGTATAATTTAAAATATTAACCTTCTTTTTTACGATAAAAAGGAGACTCTCCATTTTTTTAAAAGAATGTCATTAAATTAGGATATTTTTATTATTTTTAAAGAAAATGTAAAAATCCATGCTGTCAGCCATCCTCAGCAGCACAGGCACCGGCTGCCTCTCCGCATCAGGGCAGGCCCCGCCTCCCCTTCCCTCGCTCATGGGGGACCTGCAGCCTTCATTCAAGTCATGGCAGAACTGTCACAAAACTGTTGTTTTACCCCTTTTTGTGTGTGTCTGAGAAACAAATTCTGTTCTTTGGAAACTTTCTGTGCCCAGTAGGGCAGATATTTTTATATGTATGTATATATATGTTCATGTGTGTACATATGGTCTGGGTATAAAGGATGTATTTATGGTCTCATGCTGCTGAACCTCTGTCACTTTACGGTCCCTCCCTGTCTCCTCACCCTGCTGCCATGGGAGGCCACCGAGGCTCGTTCACCATTGTATGTCCAGGTAAAATGCCCCCTCCCTTAACCCCCTGTGGCTTGCAGAGCCATTGCTAGCCACACCTTCAGAGAATGGTAATAAAATAAAAACCGTGCAAAGATCCTGTAGCATTTCTGGTGTATATGTTATGTGGGAAGAATCATGGAATATAATCTGCCCAACTGTTCAAAAAAGTCACCCTTTTATGAGCTCATCCTCACAGAGACACTTTAAAATTGTCACCATTTGCCAGGTATGAACACGCCTTTAATCACAGTACTGCAGAGGCAGAGACTAAGTCAGGTGGGACTCTGTGAGTTTGGGGTCAGCCTGGTCTACTTAGAGAGTTCCAGGCTAGTCAGAGCTACATACACAGTAAAACCTTATCTCATAACACAAACATGTAACCAGAGACAGCTCAGCTCATTCGTTTCCCAGCTTCTCAGACCCGAATAATCTCACAGAAACTATATTAATTACAGCACTGTTTGGGCAAAGACTCAGACATATTCCTAGCTAGCTCTTACATCTTAAATTAACCCATTTCTATTAATCTGTGTATCGCCATGAAGCTATGGCTTACCAGGTAAGGCTCTTTTCTGGTGTCTGGTGTCTTTCTCCTCTCTCTCTCTCTCTCTNGCAAAGTATTATTATTATTGTAAGTGTATATGAATTGTATTCACAGGCACATTTGCTATGGTGTGTGTGTGTGTGTGTGTGTGTGTGTGTGTGTGTGTGTGTGTGTGTGTGTGTATATATCTCCCACCTGGCTTTATTCTGCCCTGCCATAGGCCAAAGCAGCTTCTTTATTAACCAATGGTAACAAAACATATTCATAGCATACAGAGGGGGAATCCTACATCACAAACAAATGTCATGCTTCATTCATGGTTGCTTTTATTTTCTACTGCTGATATAAATGAGCACTTAAAGTCAGAAGTCTTTATTGTATGGATGAAGTTTAGAGAAAGGCCAGCAACTCCGCTGTCCACCACCTTGGTAAAGGCACTGGGCTCCCAGCACACTGGCACTCAGTGATGGTCACAAATGACCAGTGTGGCAAATCTAAGAATGAGGCAGGAAGCGGCAGGACACAGAGGATGCACAGGCACCCAGCATGTCATAATGTGGGTTTTATTTTTATCAGACGGTGATGATGTCAAAATAGAACCAGGATGTACTTGTGGGAAAATGTGAAGGGGACCAGAGACGTGCAGTAGAGACATCACAGAGTAATAATAACACCCTTGGCAACTCCTCACCGACAAGCTAGATAATGAGGGAAGTGTGTTGATCTGTGAGCAAGGAAGGGTCAGTAAATGGGGAAATGGTGCGCAGAAAACACAAAAACATAATGACGAGATGGACCCAGACGTGTCTGGCTCACAGCGTGACTATTGTGTCAGCACCAAGTAGGCAGATCACTGCTAAGGGAAACTCTGAACAAAAAGTAAGCAATGACGGAAAATGAGAGAAAGCAAAATAAATAAATGAAACCTCAAAAGAACTCTGACATTGTAAGGCTTAGTAACAAAAATGAAATTTAGGGCGGTTGAAGTATAAGAAACGAGGAGGTGATCACAAACTTGTAAGCCAGGATTGATGCTCAGAATGCAGAGAGCAGCCTTGACGTTGATATTACCTTCCTAGACACTGGACCGTCTGTCAGACAGAAGATGAGACACCAGGGCTGCCCCTGAAATATGCCTGGGATTGAACCGCACATCATCTAACGTGACAAAATTGCTAAGTCACTCACGAGTAAGACGATGAATAGAATCTGTGAAACAAAGTCTACAGAAGAAATTACTACCTTGAGGGAAGAAAATAAATAAAAATCAAAACCTTGATTATTGAAAAATGTAATTTATAGAAAAACTAAGAGACTGTTTCAGAGACAGCGTGACAACATGTCTGTTTACAAAACAACAGTGGTAGCATGCACACACACACACACACACACACACACATCCCATAGGGCCAGTAACCTCCCAAGCCAGGGGGATTTTTGTTCTGTTTGTTTTGTTTTTTGGCCAGGTTTTACAGGATCAGACATGCATTCCCTCCTGTGGAGTCAGCCTCAGATCCGAATCAGAGAAGAGTTGGTTTCCCCCATAACAGTCAGCCGCTGTGTCACCATAGGCTCACCTTCCTGCAGGCCCTGTCCTAGCACGCAGGGTTCACTGGTTGCTGAAATGGTTGGTGACTGTTTCTCCTGGTGGTGCCTTCAGAGCTCTGAAAATGCCATCGGGGGTACGTTTCCGAGTCAGCTGCAGTTTGAGTTTTCTCTGTGCTGCAGGCGAAGTGCAGTGTATCTTCAGCGATCATCTGGTTACGGTGGGCAATCCAGCAATGGCCTGTGTTGGAAAAAAAACACATATTTTGATCAAGTAAATTTGTTTATGTCATTCAATTATGGGTCAATATTAGAAAAATAATGCTGTGATTTACCACGTTAAATTCAATCATGTAAGTCAGCAGCTTCATAGATGCACAGAATTCTATCGATCATTTATCTTGGTTATCACGCCATTGAGTTAAAAAAACAGTTTTTAACTTGGCAAAGCATGCCTAACAATCTTCAAAGCAAAAGCTTTAAGTTTCTGTATTTCTTAATAATCCTCATCCAAGCCGGGCGGTGGTGGCGCAGGCCTTTAATCCCAGCACTTGGGAGGCAGAGGCAGGCAGATCTCTGTGAGTTTGTGGTCAGCCTGGTCTACAGAGCTAGTTCTAGAACAGGCTCCAAAGCTACAGGGAAACCCTGTCTCAAAAAAATGCCAAAAAAAAAAGGAAGGAAGGAAGGAAGGAAGGAAGGAAGGAGGAAGGAAGGAAGGAGGAAGGAAGGAAAAAGGAAGGAAGGAAGAAGGAAGGAAGGAAGAAGGAAGGAAGGAGGAAGGAAGGAAGGAGGAAGGAAGGAAGGAAGGAAGGAAGGAAGGAAGGAAGGAAGGAAGGAAGGAAGGAAGGAAGGAAGAATCCTTATCCAAGCAAAAGTAGAAGAGAGGGGTGAGCTAGCCTTTGCGGCACAGAGGACAGACATGGGGTGCCTCGTGATTAGGATCATTTACTAGAAACACTGGAATAGCACAAAGGAAAGGGACATGCATGAGTCGTGTGGATTGAAAGTAACTGTGCATAACTGGGAAATCCAGGAGCATCTTAGCATCACCTGTTATTAGCAAGACTAGCCCACAAAGAAAGACACAGATCCAGAGAAAATAAAAGTCATATAATTATAGTCTCAGAATTCATATCAGCTCTCTGGTTCTTAAACTTCAAGGTACTAACATCACCACCACTGGTCCACAACCTTCCCGGGGCATCAGAAGCTCTGTTCTTAGGAGCACTCCTAAGATTCTGTCTCTTCACGGAGTGAGAGAGCCTGTATCTATGTAGGTGTCATGGATGTGTGGGTGTGTGAGCATAGCATGCATAAGGATGCTACGTAAGTATGAAGATGGTGTGCGTGTGACCGTGGCATATGTGTGTCTCCAGGTAGTTCTGAGCCCACGGTCACTCACCTTGTTCTCTTGTCTGTCAGCTGCACGAGGGAGAGGTCGGTGTGTAGCAGTATGCTGGGGATCCCAGTCCCGTCCTGCAGGCTGTAGGGATAGGAAAGATGAGCATGGCTGAGAATGAGACTTGGTGTTTCCTATCCCAAGGTGGGGGATGATGGTGCCCGAGCACACACAAGGGATTCACAGAGCAGGACTCTGGGATTCCAAGGGGCACTTGGTCTTCCCTGAGAAAGTAAGTGGGGATAGGTCCAAAAGAGAGTCAGATAGTGGCCCCCTTGCCTACCTCTCTGAGCCATGTGTCAGGGCTAGGCACAGTGCTATTGGTAGCCATGGGGCAGGTATGACGGGAAAACCAAATAGGCACGGCCCCTGCAGGTCCAGGGGGAACCCCTGATACCTGAGACTCAGGGCCAGCCCAGGTACATGCCACAGGGAGGTCCCCATCTGCTGAAGAAACTTCAGCCAGGGCCCAAACACCAGGTAGGCTTGGCTTCTGTCCTCTGGTGCAGCTATCACAGAGAGCTCAATACTCGTGGCCTAGAGATTAAAGGGAGGAGAACTAGAGACCGGGTCTTCACTCTCAGGTGAGAGCTGGGATAAATTATTGTGGCCTCCTCTCATGTCCCTGTGATGAGGGTCGGGTTTTGCTGGGTGAGCTTTGACCTCTAGCCCAGAAGAAGCATTGCCTAGTCTGAAGGGACTCCAGGAGTCAGAGGTGCCCCTGAGGTAGACTGTGGTGGCACCAGGTAGGGACAGATGGGTACTGTCAGTGTCCCATAGATGAGGTCATCCTAATACCTGTCCCTGAAAAGTGCCCCCCCACCCCGGAGAGGTTCCAACGCAAACCCACAGTCCAGTCCAGGAGGCTGCATAACCATAGACACCGTGTCCTTAGGGTGGACCCAGTTTTTACACAGCAAGTCTCATATCCCGAGAAACCGATCACAGGCAACCCAGTGTCGGAAATCCCCACCTGGGGCCTGGGCCAGAGGACACGGAGGAACCTCTACTGAGGGCTACTTTCAGTGTGGGGAGGAGCAGGGCAGAACAGCTCCTGAGAGCTAGCAAGCCCAGCCTAGGTCTCCCCTGCAGGTCTTTTCCAGGCCTTGGGGCCATACCCAGCATTCTGTCCTTTTTAGTGTCCTTGCTGTGGGTGTGAACATCCTGTGGGTGAGATCTGTTCCCACTTTCCTGCCATGCTTTTCCTCTTTCCCTGGATGTACAACTACTGGAGACGTGTGCGCCTGCCTCCGGCCTCCGTTCCAGTTCTCTCCACCCCTCTCCCCTCCCCCTGCCCTTTGCCCTCCCAGCAGCATCTGGACAAGCCCCAGCAAGAAGCAACAGTCGCACCATGGTTCCTCAGGCTCGCCGCTGGCTGGTGTTTTTCTGCTTTCTGCTCCAGCTTCAGGGACTCCTAGGAACTGTAGGTATGGAAGTCCCATCTGTCCAGGGAGGGTCTCTCTGTGGACTGGGCGAGTTGAGAAGCCAAGCTGTTCGCAACAGCAGCTGGGACTTCAACAGGAACCCGCTCCCAGGCGGCTCCATCAGATGTGTGTCCCTGCCAAAAGTTAATAGTGTCCGGGTGTTTGCCACGGGGAGATAGGCTGTTCTTCACGGGGGCAGGAGCTTTGGCTATTGTTTTCCAAAGAGATTTTAGAAGTAGGGAACTTTGCTGCCACTGTCCCCCTGTGAAGTTAGCTCTGGAGGCCACTCAGTGCAGAGTTCTGGGGCAAGGGATCTCATGTCAGGACAGCCACAGAACACTGAGCTACAGGGCTTGCTCATGTCTTGGCCCTATGGTCACAGCCATAGCCCCTCATACACACACACACTCTCACATACACACACTCACACCCCCACACACACATACACACACTCATACACATACACACACATACTCACACATGCACACACACGCGCTCATACACCCACACTCACACACACACACACACACACACACAGCTCTGAGGCCTCGGTTCTCTGCCTGGTGAAGGTCCTTGACAGGTCCTGTTTGACAGCGTCTCCATCTGCTCTTCTTCCATAGCGGGGGCTGATTCTCTAGGAACGCCAGTCACAAAAGACTCTCCAGCTTGAAAAGGCTTCAGTGGTCCTTACCCCCTCCTCTTCCCTCTTGCTGTTCCTTCCCGAAATGATGCGACTGTCTTCCAGTCTTGTCTTTCCAGAGGCCACTCCTTTTGGGTATGCCAGCATCCTCCTGGTGACCACAGCCACCTTTTCAGCCCCACCCAAAGCCAGTTCCTTCCAGCAAGGCCCATATGGGTGCCTCTTCAGCATGGGGAAAGCCTGCCTCACTCTCTCCTTTAGCCCTGTTCTTGAGTACACTGGCTGCTTTTGACTCTTCCCTAACTTCCTCTCTTTCTCTTCTCCTCTCTTCCCATCCCAGTTCCATGCCTTCCCCTGGCTACCTCCTCACAGACTCACAGTCTATGTAGCATAGTTGTCTTACAGGGCTTTGGTTTGCACCCCTGACTAATTTGGGTAAGTTAGAACCCTCATCCCCATCACCACACTCATATCTAGGGTTCAGACCCCATGTTCCTTGGAATGTCCCAGAGAACCTCTAATTCAGCATGTCCGAACTTCTGCAACTGCCTTCACCAAAGCTTTGTTTTTCTGAAGCCAAGCAGGGAACACTGGTCACTTAGTTCCCATCAGGGTGGGAATGGCTGGATCTGGTCCTGGGGCCCAGTGGAGCATCTCCAATGTAGCAAATCGCAGGAGTAGGAACCCCAGCAGGTGCGACCGTGGTGTCCAGTGCTGATGAGGTGTTTTCGTAAGATCTGCAGCCCCAGGGCCATGTGGCCTGAGATTTCTGAATTTACTCGAGGGCACACACAGCACAGGGCACACACATGTGGGACTAGATGAAAAATTTACATATATGTTAGTGCATACGTTTTCCCGTGTACCCAAGAAAGGGATTTCACAATGTGTGACTTGCTGTCTCCTTTTTGCTTGATGTCACAAGTTAAACTTGTGTTCGCTGACGTCATAGGAGCCCACCATTGGGCAGCCTCAGACTGTCACTACCAATATATCATTTTGTGAGTTTTTGTACATCCTCCAACTTTTTCCTCATAATTAATCCTCAGGAGATACAGTATGCAGGTCAAACCCCACGGATATTGTAAATTTTCATTTCATCTAATGAATACATCACCGTATACTCCTGTGTAAGGCTGGACCATGGTGTCTGTCACCAACCATCAATGAAAACACACCCAATTTAGATGCAGCTGAGCTTGGAGCTGGGTCATATTTGTGACCTTCAGCCTCCAGAAGAGCGTAAGCCATTGAAGGAGCCAACCTATGCACTTTCTATTCCTGGAGGTGGACAGGAACCCTTTGGTTCCTACCCCAAAAGAGAAAAAGATTGATGTGGGTAGTTGTTTCCTCCACTGAGAGAGCTGGATATGGCTGTGTCCATCACTGAGAGACCTGGTGTGCATGGTTTCCATGAGCTGACCCAGTGTGGTTTCCTTCACTCACTGGGAGGATCCAGTGTGGGTGTGGGGGGTCCAGTGTGGGTGTGGAGGAGCCAGTGTGGGTGTGGGGGTCCAGTGTGGGCATGGAGGAGCCAGTGTGGGTGTGGAGGATCCAGTGTGGGCATGGAGGGTCCAGTGTGGGTGGCTTCCCATCAGCCTGAGGAAAGCTGCCAGTGTTGCCTGGGACCTTCTGTTTCTCAGTTTTTGTAACCCAGGAGGAAGCACACAGTGTCCTCCACAGGCAAAGGCGCGCCTATGCATTCCTGGAGGAGCTGTGGCCGGGTTCCCTGGAGAGAGAATGCCTCGAGGAGCAGTGCTCCTTTGAGGAAGCCCGAGAGATCTTCAAGAGCACGGACAGAGCAGTGAGTGCCCCTCACCCCGGGTGCCACCCAGACTGGAGGGAAGTGAGCCGGGATGGTGGGGTCACACCTGTGTCTCTGAGCCTGTCTACCCATTTCTGTGGTGGCTGATGCCCAGGAACCCTGACACACACAGGCTTCTACTCTCAACTATGAGCCGGGGATGGCGGGGTCACACCTGTGTCCTGACACACACAGGCTTCTACTCTCAACTCTGTCATGTGCAGTTTTAAAAAATATTTAATGTGCTTTATTTAATTTCTTTTTGATATTTTTATTTAATTAACATTTTTCCCATTTATTTTGCATACCAACCACAGTTTCCCCTCTCCTCACAGAAGACCCCTAGCAATAGTGGAGAGGGCGCGTGAACTGGCCATCTACTATAAGCCCATATGCAACTTTTTACAACAGAAAAAAAAAAACCTCCTTTGGGAGGCTTTAGCACACTTGATGTGTCCACTATTTTCCCAAATCCCATATTCCCTTAAGGATCCAGGACTGTTTGTGAAGTTGACCTGAGAAGGGAAGAGTGCCCTGCCAGGGAGGGTCTCACTCACACACACGCACGCACGCATGCACACGCACACACGCGCACACACACAGCCCTCACTGCTGCCCCTGCAGCAGGCAGCTCCTCTGGAAACTGTGGCCTCTTCCACCACACTTGGCCATGTGCACTACGATTCTGAGTTTCTCTCTCTCTCTCTCTCTCTCTCTCTCTCTCTCTCTCTCTCTCTCTTTTTAATCTGTTTGTTTCTTTTAGTTTGTTGAAACAAGATCTTGCTATGTAGCCCAGGCTGGCCTCCAACACTCTCTTCCCGCCTCTGCCTCTGCCTGCCAAGCGCTGGAATTCCAGGTATGTGCTGCCCTGCCCAGCCCTGTGGTTTCGTTATGTAAAGGGGGCATATTTAAACATTCCTGAGCATTTTCCATTCTAGCCAGACATCTGCCTTTGAACGTTTTTCCTAGGAAGGGTGTGTCAGGATAGAACCAGTTGTTGAGACAGGGTTCCTCTTGTTTCATTTTGTCACCGTCTCTAGAAAAAAAACAGTCGGTCACATTCCAGTTACTGTGAGAGGCTTCATTCTTCAAGGGACTTTTTCTTCTCACCAGCTTTGAGTCAATATCACATCTCTCTCTCCCAGAACATCTCTTTCACACACGCACACAGAAGACCTCACACTCAGAGGAGGCCTCAACTCACAACAGAGAACACCTCTCTCCTGAGAGTCCTCACACTCAAGAGGCCTCACACGGGAAGTCCAGGCGCACAGAAGAGCTTACACCTGCAGAACACCTTACCCAGAATACCTCGTTCTCAGGGGTATCTCGCCACCTCAAAGGACACGTCACACGGGATGAGAACCCCGCATTCACAGAACACAAGTGTCCTCACATGCATGGGGCACCTCACACAGGGAACCTGTAGAAGTTACTTTTCTCATTATGACCGAATATCTGATAAAAAAAAAAAACTGAAGGAAAGACAGACTTCTTTAGGTCCATGGTTAGGAGGAAGTCCATCACAGCAGGCAGGGAAGGCAGGGCAGTAGGAGCTTGAGGCAGCCAGACACGGGGCATCCAGCCAGTAAGTAGCAAGAGATGGATGCTGGTACTCAGCTCACTTCCTCCTTGTCATTCAGCCCAGGGCGCCCATGGAATGATGCTTCCCACACTTAGAGCTCCCGGCCACAGCTGGAGAAGGCAGGATCGGGGCCAGAACCCGGGTGTGCTGCCTTGGGAGAGGCAACTGTGTTGTGACTTTAGATGTCTCTAGAAAGCGCATAGAAAACATCAGCCTCAGATAAGCCCTCCTCATCTCCAGAGGAAATATGGCTTCCCAAGTCCCTCACAGAGGCCCATGTCAGGAGCCCCACCCGTAGCTCCCAAGCTCCCTCCCTGGGACACTAACTGCTACTTCTCCTCCCCTCAGAAGCAGTTCTGGGTCGTGTACACAGGTGAGTAGGTGGGAAGCTGTTTGTGCCCCTCCCCCAGAGCCCTCTTTTGCATGACACTAACACCCACTGACTCCCCCACAGATGGGGACCAATGCGCCTCGAATCCGTGCCAGAACGGGGGCACCTGCCAGGACCACCTCCAGTCTTACATCTGCTTCTGCCTCATAGACTTTGAGGGCCGGAACTGTGAGAAGAGTGAGATCAGCGTCCTGCCTCAGTTTACAGAAGGATAGAGGGGGCAGGGGAGGGCCTGGGTGCCTGCTTCCGGGGTGAACAGCCTCATCAAGGAAGGGGAGGGAGTCCAATCCAGCCCCTTTGGGAAATCTATCCAGGAGACATTAAGTACTCTTCAAATTGAGAGCCTTGGATTTATGAGTCTAAGATTTTGGGTCTTAGACTCAGTGTCCCCTTTGGTTCCCTGTCCTGGGAACTCTAGTGGTCTGGAGAGAGCTGAGGGAGCGTCCCTATGTCACCATCCAGCTTCTGTCCCCACCAGGCAAGCCAACTGGGTAGACTTCATTCTCTACTGGCTGGCTTAAGGTGTGAGGTATTTTTTCCAGCTTTGAAACATCCAACTAGCGCTAAGCTTGGAGACCATCAAAGCATTCTGGCCCCAGCAGCTCACTAGTGGGCCTCATGGAATTCACTGGCTGCAGATACACACTAGTGTTGTGTTATAGAAGAGGCCAGGGCAGGCTTCCTTCCAGCTGGGCTCTTCTGTGGACTCACACAGGCAGCTCTGCGTTCTTCTGAAACGGCATGTACTATGGAATATCACCAACCTAGGAAGCCCTTTAACCCCAAGCCTAGGTGTGCACACATGTAGATGAGAAAGACCCATATCCAGCGCCTCCCGGGACCATGGTCTGCCATCAGTCATACATTGCTAGTCATCTGTATGGCCCACGGCCCCAGACTAGAAGCAGCATTCTGGTTGGAGGATCCCCCAAGGTCGCCTCTTGAGTGGGGGCAAAAGTCTCCTCTCTTCAGACCAAGGGCTCCTTGTTGCCCAAGTGGGTTCTTCTTGCTGTCAGCTGCCTCCTGTTCTCTTCAGAATGAGGCCAGCCAGAGAGTAAAGGAAGGAGAGATGCTCACAGAAGGTCACTGGCCTGAGCAGCCTGTATGTCTTAGCACTGACTGTGACCCACGGGTCAGGCCTCCATACTGGAGCTCTGGGCTCACTCAGGTGCTGAGCCAGGTCTGGTGTCCTGCACTGCTGAATGAACACACCACTCTGCTGTCTGGGCCAATGGCCTATGTTGGAACCAAGGGCCTGGATGGCTCATGTGGTCTTGAAGGTTGGCCCTAGAACAATTCCTCCCTTTGGCCCTTCCATAGGCCAGTCTCCCATTCTGATGAGGGTTTTTACTGTCCCTGGGAAATCTTTGCTTACCTCCAGAACCCTTCCCAGCTTCTCCTGAGACTCTTGGATGGGGTAGCCGTCACACACCAGCCTCTCCTGAGATTCTTGGACAGTGTAGCTGTCACACACCAGCCTCTCCTGAGATTCTTGGACAGGGTAGCCATCACACACCAGCCTCTCTTGAGACTCTTGGACAGGGTAGCTGTCACATACCAGCTTCTCCTGAGACTCTTGGACAGGGTAGCCGTCACACACTAGCCTAGCATCCTCCAAATGCCATTAAGGAGCAGCTGTCAGGACTGCTCAGATGTGCCACTCCCAGCTCCAGGTCTCCTTCCTCCAGATCAGTTCCCAGGGCAGGTGACATCAAGTTCAGCCTCAATAATCTGCTGCTACACAGTGCCTCCCCAGGGGACAGGAACCACTGCCATCATGGCTGGCCTCTCAGGTTGGCTTCTCCCGTCCTCAGACAAGAATGAGCAGCTGATCTGTGCCAATGATAACTGTGGCTGTGATCAGTACTGCACTGACCATCCAGGGACCAAGTGCACCTGCCACTGCCATGAGGACTATGTGTTGCAGCCTGATGGGGTGTCCTGCAAACCAAAAGGTAAGGGGTCCCGAGGGCTGGTGTTGTCTTACACTCTGAAGAACCAGTCACCTTCACTGGCCTATGGCAAGTAATCAGGCCAAAGATGCGTAATAAGGCCAGACCCCTGCTAAGCCAACATCTGGTGGACACTGAATGTGGAGGTGGAGGATGGAGAGCTGAATGGCACTGTGCCTAGGAGCTGTTAGCTTGGAACTTCGGGCCAGCATCCTGCCCTGTCTCAAGGCAAGCCATCGAAGGCAGGCCAGGAATGACATAAGGCCCCTCATCTCCTCTAATATCCGACTTGGACATCTCTAGGACACACCTGGGAATCACCTAGGCACACCTGGACAATGTGCCCACTGCTGCACAGTTAAGGACAAAGGATGACTTAGGACAGATTGTGTGTGCGTGGGCAGGGGCAGTGTGAGCAGCACACGTGTGCACTGCCTGCAGAGGTCAGGTGTCAGATCCCCTGGAGCTGAAGTTCCTCAGAAGAGGATGAGTCCAGCCTGGTCCATGTGGTCAGTGGACCACAGCTAAATCTTCTTTCTTACCCAAGGACCGTGAAGCAGAGGAAGACGCAGGAGTGAGGTCGCCGTGTGAGGGTGGCACATTTTCATACAGGCCATCGCTGCCTTGTAGCAAACCCTAGCAGTGTCTTCCCTATGAAGATACAGCAGACCACAACTCTAGAGAACAAGGCTCCAGTTTCCCCAACCCAGCGTCTGTCTCCTCTCCCAGCTGTTGCAATAGCCCTTCCTAACCACCCTAGAGGGAAGCATCTCCTTTACCCTGAGCCCCCTACTGTCCCCAATAGGAGCTATGGCAGGGGCCAGCTGCATCTGGACCTCTACCTACAAGCACCTTCACCGCAGCACCCTCCTCTTCCTGACTTCTGTTTCACACAGTTGAGTATCCATGTGGGAAAATACCTGTTCTGGAAAAAAGAAATTCCAGCGGCCCCCAAGGCCGGATTGTGGGAGGCAAGGTGTGCCCCAAAGGGGAGTGCCCATGGCAGGTAAGGCTCTCTGTCCTGTGCAGACCCCACTCCCAGCTCTGCTTTCCCTGACTTCAGGGTTTCTGCCCTGGGGTGTAGAACTTTTGAACTGGGTCATATTTACACACAAGGAACGTGGGCCAGCCTCTACCCCACCTATATCCTAAGGTACTCCCCTAACCACCCACCCACACCCACACACACACACACACACACACACTCACACTTGTGCAGAGAAGAGAAAGAAAACAAGTATTGAGGCCCATTTCATGTAGGAAAACCAGTACGGTCTGCTGCTGCTGGGGGTGGGTGATTTGGGGACCTGCCTGTGTACCCCACCCCCATCCTCCAGCACCCTTGTTGTCTACCAGAGCCACCCAAGCCAGAGATGCTCTGAGACCTCAGAGGCCCTGTGTTGCAGGCAGGAATTTTGTCAAGCCAGCTGCTTCCTGATGTGACTTTCTGTGTCTGTGTGCCCCCACCCAGGCTGTGCTGAAAAACAGTGGGTTACTGCTGTGCGGGGCCATCCTATTGGACAGTACGTGGATCGTGTCTGCAGCCCACTGTTTTGATACTATCAGGAGCTGGAGGAACATAACAGTGGTGATGGGTAGGTATGGCCTGTCCCTGGCCTCTAACCAGAGAGCATTTTCATATGTCTGTGGTTCAGGGTCAGCCTCCCTAACCAGATGACATCTCCAAGGAAGGCCATACTGGAGCTAACCCACCTTGTCCTCTGGGCTTTCCCTCCCATCAGGGAATAGAGGGAGGTTTGGGGCTTCTTTTTCCATCCTGCCCCTCTCAGAGTGGGTGGTAAGGGTCCCATCCACTCCTCACTCCCCCTCAGTGCCCGGCCTCAGGTTCAGCCTTCCCTCCATAACTGCAATGGGCCCTGGTGCAGGCTTTTCCCGGGACCCTGGGAAGAATACAAATCCTCCAGAAACCAGAGGCTGAACTGGCCACATGCCTGTCCACATACTCTAGGCCGGAGGGCCAAGACAAGAAAGAGCTCTGTGTGAGAGTATGGCCACACATTAGGGTATGTACCCTGAGTGGAATGGCTTCCTCTCAGGTGAGCAAGACTTCAGCGAGAAGGATGGGACTGAGCAGGTACGACGGGTCAGACAGGTCATTATTCCTAACAAGTACATCCCAGGCAAGATCGACCATGACATTGCCCTGCTCCGTCTCCACCAACCTGTGACCTTCACTGACCACGTGGTACCCCTGTGTCTGCCTGAAAGGGCCTTCTCCGAGAGAACCCTCTCCAGAATCCGCTTCTCAAGGGTCAGTGGCTGGGGCCAGCTGCTGGACCGCGGGGCCACAGCCCTGGAGCTCATGGCTGTTGAAGTGCCCCGGATGATGACTCAGGATTGCCTGGAACACGCCAAGCACAGTCCCGGCACCCCCCAGATCACTGACAACATGTTCTGCGCTGGCTATATGGACGGCACGAAGGATGCCTGTAAAGGGGACAGCGGTGGCCCCCACGCCACACACTACCGTGGCACCTGGTACCTGACAGGTGTGGTCAGTTGGGGCGAGGGCTGTGCAGCTGTTGGCCACGTTGGAGTGTACACCAGGGTCTCCAGGTACACAGAATGGCTGATCAAGTTCATGAACTCCAAGCCCCAGGTTGGGATTTTCCAAGTTGAGCTGGTCTAACTCCTTGGACAGCCCAACCTTTCCCGAGGAGGAAGCTGCTGCTGTGTAGAGCTGTTTTGTATCAAATCCTATGGAGTCTCCTGCTATTCTTGGGGGTGGGGAAGGAGAAAGAGATGAAGAGATAAAGGGGGCAGAAAGAGATATCAGAGAGAGGAAAACAGGGAGAGAAACAGAAAGAGGGATCTGAATGAGGGACTAACAAAGACACTCAGGGACTGGATGGTAGAGCCACAGACGGGCAGCCCAAAGGGGCAGGGTGGTCCTGAGGGAGATGAGGTCCAGCCCTTGCTGCTGCCTCCCATCTGCATGTGCTCTGCCTGCAGTGCTGCAGTGTGCACACGTGCATGTAGAACGTGTGTACGCATGCATGTGTGTGCACTCACAATGTATACATCATCTGCACTATCGTTCCCTTTCATTTCTTTCCTTTTTTGCATGAGTACCCCGTCTTTATTTCAATTAAACGAGAAACACTTTCTGAGCGTGCAGCATCGTTCTTCCAGGCTTCTCAAGGGAGTGTTTCTGAGTTAGTGTGCCCTCCCGCTTGCCCGACAGTGAGTGGCTGTCCTCAGCACACTTTGGGGATGCCTGCTGTCCCCCTGGATTGACCTTAACTCCCTGAGTGGAGCCTCCAATGGCGTCAGATGCACATCAGCAGGGCTGTTCTCCCTGGGAAGAAAGGGACAGTGGGGCTGAGAGGGAGCCGAGAGGGTTTGTCCTCAGTGTCCCCAGCCATTAGTAGGTAATACATGTACCCAGCTCACAGAGCTGTCCTGAGATGGCACCAGGAGCCCTTGAGAGGCCTTACTTGAGGGTCTAGCTCCCGGAAGACGGTGTGGTCAGCATGGGGTGTGCTTACTTTCCAATCGACACTCCTGGGAGTGGGGCCAGAGAGAGGGCCGGGTACAAAGGAAGGACCTAATCCCAGGCCACATTTCTGCTACGAGGACCTCACCACCTCACCCTTGATGCCATCACAGACTCAGTGTAGGCACTGAGACCTCCACATCGGCATCGCCAGGCAGGGCAGAGGTCAGACACCAATTGACGGCCACCAGAACACATGCATCTTTTCCAAGTTCTGCTGCAGTCTGGCCCAGCCTGATTAACGGCAGTGACTTCCTGGTGAGATGCCAGGCAAACACCATTCCAGTAACCTCTGGCTACGTGCGTGCAGCCGCAGTCCTGAGTCTTTGCCTAACCAATCACCATAGGTGGCACAGGCTGTAGCCAGTATCATTCTGCCGACTGGTGTGAATACTCCCCAGGCTCAAAAATATCCCCACCAGATAAGGTTTCTAAGGAGGACTGGGTCAGCATGAGTGCCAGCAGTCTGGTCCACATGGAGAAGGTGGAGACAGCTGAGCATTTTCCCCTCACAGGACAAATCTTCGAGTTTCGTTGTTGCTGCTGCTATTGATAACTTCCAGGGGTGTTGGGACCATTTGGAGTCCTGGCCTCCAGCTGCTCCTCCCTGCTAGAGATCTTTACTTTCCTTCTGATTTGAGTTACTGAAAGCTGTGTCAAAGTTGTTTACCAGTCATGAGCACGTGTTGCCTCTGTCTTGAGGATCAGAGGATAAGGTTTTCACCTGTTGGCCCACCTGACTGTTGGGTATATAAGCCTCCGTGGTGCTATTGAATAAAGGGCTTCTTACCAGTGACTGGAGGTCCATGTCTCTGTCTCTCTCTGTCTGTGTGTCTTTGTGTGTTTCAACCTCTAGCCCCTTGCCCGGAGCTCGCTAACTGTATGGTAGCACATAGAGCGCAGACAGGCATTGTGTGCGGCACAGGGGTGCCTCCTAGTGATGGGCCACAAGCTCAGAACCTCTGAGTCTGACATTCCAAGAAAGATTTCTAGGCTCAGGGCAAACCGCCCCATCCCCCAGCCCTGCCACGGCCTGGAGCAGCCCCCATACATGTATACACACTCCCAGCAGAGTCACATGACCACAGCGTGGGCGAGAAGCTGTTTCCACCGTTACAGTCCTCGAATGACTTGTCCTTCTCTGGCCTCCTCTTTCAGGACTGAGGGAAAATGGCCACCCCTTTGCAGGTGTGAACAATAGGCTCTGCAGAGGTGGCCATGACCACCAAACACCAAACCTCCCCTCACACTCTCCGTCCTCCAAAGTTGGAAGTGGCAGGCAGGAACAGACACCCCGCCTCCTGCCAACCCTGATGTGTGCCTTGGGTCCCTGTGGACTCTCCTGGATGTCACATTTCAGAGAAGAGAGTTTGTGTCAAGACACCAGCAGTTCAGGGCTCCTGTCCCCCAGCAGCCCGGCCTGCTTCCATGACTAGATTACACAGCCATTGTCCAAGGGACACACGAGCCCCACACTTATATCTGTGCCCAGAGTTAGCTGGGGCCAGCCAGAGGACTGAGGGCTTGGGCTCAAACCCCACATGTGCCCTGGTACCCAGGCTTTGCCTCATCCCCATCTCAACTAACGGGTAGGATGAGTATTAGAAAATGCTATGACTGCTCTCAGTGCAAAGCAGGCCCTTGCAGGAAGTTTGGGATAAGGATAGCCAGCCCGGAAAAGGCTGGGGCTGGTGGCCACAGTTCCCAGTCCCCTGACCTCATTGCTGGCTGGGGCTCCAATCAGGAGGCTGAGATAAGCAGGAGGACCATGGCCACCTGGGGCTCAGGGCGAGTGAACCTTGCCCCCACGCCTGTCCCAGCAGCTGCTGTCCTTGACCACACCATGGGGAGCCCGCTGAGACTCAGCCTGCTCTATGTTGCCCTGGCCAGCCTCCTGTCACCTGGAAGAAGCCGTAAGTGCTCCAGCCCTTCACACTGTAGAGTGGCCCAGGAGGAGGGCGTGAGGGTGGGTAGTGGGAAGGGCGGGGTGGTAGGTGCACTGACCCATCCACAGGCTGGCTTCTGCTGGTATAGTTAGGGCCAGCTGCGACTGCTCATGCAGGGCACAAGGAGTGAAAGGCCTGAAGAAAGGAGGAGAAGGGAAGAACAGAGACAGGGTGGGACAGGGATAGTGATAAGGAGAGAGAGGAGGACAGAGATAAGGAGGAAGAGAGAAACAAAGGAGATAAAGTCACCCCAGCACGGGAGAGACAGGAAATGGGGCTCCCAAGCTTGGGAAGCTGAGGTGGGCCACAGACTGCACAAGACAAGGTTGTACAAACAGGCAACAAACAGCCCCCAGACCTGCTCCAGAGAGGGCTCCGCTCACACGGAGCTGGCCTTGCACCAGGATAACCTCAGCAACACAGGGGCACTTCCCACTCATTAGGTCCTGACTGAGGAAAGTGCCGCTGGCAAACCCGACACCCAGTCGATGGGTCAATCCTGCTAGTAACTGCCAAGGTCAGCGCCACAGAGACAACCCAATGTTTGAGGACAGCAATGTACAGGGGCTGGAAAATCAAAGGCCGCAAGTAACAAAACACACAGCTGAGACTGGGCAGTAGGATGCTGTGTGTCAGGACGTTAGAGTCTTTGCCGGTTCCCAGGGATGAGTGTTCACAACATTGCCGTGTTTTAATTTCATGCCGCCAATCTTGATTTTACTCAAATCAGAACCTATGGCTGCCAGCAGGGTGGGTCTGCGTGACTGTCTAGGGTGTGGGTATAGTGTTCCAGCAAAGCCATTCACAGAGACTGATTTAATCAAAAGGACAGGACGCCAGACCAGCTGCCTTCATTCACTGGACAGGGATCAGTAGGTAGCATTGTTTCTAGACCTATGAATAGCCACAGGCAGATGGGCCACCTATGTTTATAACAGGCAGACGTACCACACGTGTTTATATTCCCAGAGAGGTGACAGCAGCAAACCAAGAGATACATAACATCATAGAACAGCCATGTACTATGCCCAGAAAGAGCACAAGGCAAGGGGTCCAAGAGATATGGAGGTGGTCAGGATGGTGGACTTCCAGAGGGGTCACATAATAGATCTGTGAAGGTGGTCAGGATGGTGGACCTCCCGGGAGGACATGCAATGGAGTGACCCATGTGTGCAGATGGGCACACCAGTCATTTTTCCATCACTGTGACCAAATACCTGCACAGGCCACTTTAGGGAGGAAGGGTTTCTTTTGGCTCGTGGTCTCAATCCATCGTAGCAGGGAGCATGTGACAGAGTGGAGCAGTTCCCCTCATGGCAGCCAGGAAGCAGGGAAAGGGAGAATGAGAACATACGGCCTCCTGGACCTGCTGGTCTCCTCTCTCCTCTCCAGGCTCCCAGGCCGTGTGGCGACACACCCATGCTCACAGTGCACCTCCCCCCTCAGTTAGTTCTACCTGGAAGCCCCTCACAGACACACCCAGAGGTGGCTCAGTCCAGGCTGACAATGCAGGGTCATCTTCCTACCATGGAAGAATGAACCAGGCAAGGAGAAAAGCTTTTGTGAAGGCCCTAGCAGGACACCTGGGAACAGGTGAGGTCCCTTCACCCTCACCCTTCTCTGTCTGCTAGTGTTTATTAACCGGGAACGCGCCAACAATGTCCTGACGAGGATTCCAAGGGCAAACTCATTTTTTGAAGAGATGAAGAAGGGCAATCTGGAAAGAGAATGTGTGGAAGAGGTATGTTCTTATGAAGAGGCCCGTGAAGTCTTCGAGGATACTCAGAAGACGGTGAGTCAGGCCAGGTCCTTGCCTGCTGGTGCTGGGCCTTCTCAGTTCCTTTCTAGCTGGGGTTGGGCCATCCTGGGCTGCTGCAGGGTTCCAGGCTGGCCCAGATTTGGATCCTTTACCCACAAGCCTGTGAAGCGTAATTGGGGAAAGCAACCAAGGGGTTAGACAGTCAGGTATATTAACCTAGCCTGTTGTCTGTAGAACATCCATTTTGATCTCTTCTGCATCCCTTCAGCTCTCTTCCTGAGTAGAAAAACTGAGGGGGAGAAATGCCACATAACACAAAGTTAATGAGAACTTGCTCTTAACCTAAGTTAACCTAAGAAAATTATATATGTCTATAAATACACACATGTGTGCATGAACGTACATATGCATGTATGTGTATATATGTACATATGTAATATTTATGTGAATACATGTATGTGTGTACATATATAATATCTATGTATTGTGTATTATGCATGTATGTGTGTTTGTATATCCATCCCCTCATGGTCCCTATCAGTGCTTCCCGGATAAATGTACAACAGTGGCCACCGCCCTCCCTCTCCAGTGGGTAAGGAGCCCAGTGGCTCAGATGAGCATGCACAGCATGCAGACATGTGACAGGGACCCACAGCACTGCCATCACTACCTACGTACGCAGCATCAGGAGTGAGCCTGCTCGTCTTCCCCAGAAGACGGGGATCTTCAAGTGCCCAGTGGAAACGTGAGCCCCAAGTAACAGGAAGGAACTAACAAGAAGAGTCCCCAAAGGGGGCCTAGGAGGAGCTGAGGGAGGGAGGAACAGTTATTCCAAGCAGTTATTTCTGGACCCAAATAGAAATGACAAGACCCACTGCTGCTGCCACCACTGAAGGCCACAGAGCAAGACCTGCTCAACTACCAAGGCCAAGTCACTGGCTCCATTTAGGAATTCAGCCACCTGCAGCCAGGGCCGCCTGACCAAGGGCTTTAGGCCAATGTGACTCCTGGGGACTGGGATGGGACCAATGGCTTTCATCCGGTTGTGACTATACACTGTGAGAACAGGTAAAGGCGTGAAGTCTTAGGGCTCTTACTATCAAAGGATTCTTAGGGTCTGTGATCAATTCATCTCATGATCTTAGACAGAACACCCTAACAGCAGCCAGAAGAGAAATGCTCTCCTCATAGCAGACAGGAAGCAAAGGGGAGGACAGGAAGGAGCTGGATCTGAGATCCCACCAAGGACACCCCCACCCAACCACCTTGTCTTCCAGATAAGCCCCACCCAGAGTTTACAGACCCCCCCCCCCAAAGTACCACCACCACCTGGACACCAAATGTTCAGTACGTGAGCCTCTGAAGGACAAGCCATCAGAAAGGCCAGGTCACAAGGCAAGGCCAGCTCGAGAGGGCAGGGAGCATTTACACACATGGAATACTGAACAGCCTTAGGGGGCACACTGAGGTCAGGACCCTGGAAGAGTGGGAAGAGCTGGTGTCATGCTCTACAAAGCTGCATGGGCACCACTCCGTCACTTTCCCTCCAAAGAGATTAAGACTCCATGCCATTGAAACCACTCGGACTAGAGCATGGATGATTTCCGAAGGAAGGAATCCGCCACGCATGCTCAAATCCTCCTTGGCTTTTTAGAAACATCCATGCATTGCATCACCTGACACAACAAAACCAGGTGTGAGGATTGTTCCAGAAGTGTACTGTAAGGTTTTAGTAGTTAATGACTTTGACTATACATAAGAACAGGAATGCCAATTCCGGGATTAGTGGTTCGCTTGACTCTCGACCCTGAATCTTTCTATGTTCTGCGTGACCACGTAGTCTATTATGATCCCACTGAAATCACGGAGAAGATTGTAACGGGTGAATAGACACCCTGTGGGTGGTAGCACGATCACATTCATTCGGAAAGCCCATCCCATTTACCCCACCTTTGGTGAGAATCGGCATGGTGGAAAGGCATGATGGAGTCCTGGAGGTGAAGCTGACAGAAATCAACCTCTCAGGACTGAAGAAACCTATGCAGTTCCTCACAGCATCTCTGTGAGGTAAGCTTTTACAGCCCACCACCTCCAGCTGCAGCCAGGTTCCTCAGCAGGTTTGTTAGGGAAGGCGTGCTGGAGGTGATACCCGCGCACATTCCTCTATCCCTACAAACAAGGACGCTTCTAGTGGAGGGAGGGGTGGCTCTAGGGGGCACTAACAGGTCACAAAGGAGGCGTGTGACGCTTAAACTGAGCCGTGAGAGCCTTTTGAAAATCAAGCTAAGATCATTGACCATGGCAAGACAGGTCTACAGGTGAAAACTTCTACATGGCCCATCCTATATGACTGGAGCACGGGTATCACAGGCAACACGAGGGGAGAATATGGTCCCTGTCACAAAAGACAAGATGAGGAAAATGCAGCAGGCTCGGGTACACAGGAAGCTGGACACGTCCTGGAAGCAGATGCTGAAGGAAGAGAATTTCACAAGTTTGTTTCGTGTATGATCTCATTTATCAGAGATTCTTAAAACATCATTACTTTATCAAAGAGCAGCAGGTTCCTAGTGATACCTGACAGTTTGGGGACGGTGATTGAGGGTTGGGTGAAGATGGGGCTGTGTTTGTTTGCCACAAACCAGGCGAGTGCTCTCCTCCAGGCTGTAGCTCCAGCCTAAACAGAAATATTTTAAAGACAGTACATTCATCGCCATGACAACCATAACAGGGTCCTATAAGCAGAATGACTTAGAGTAACAGGATTTATTCCCTTGAAATTTGGAGGTAATGAATGCAAAGCCAGGACCCAGGTCAGGCTGGATCCTCTGGAAGTGCCAGAAGAAACTCTGTGCTGTGGCTCCAGTAGTTACCTCTGTTGTCACCGCCCGTGACCTCCCTTCTCTGTTGGCTCCAGATGACCATTCTTTACTTCGAGATGGACACTGTCACTGACTTGGATGATCCTGGATGACCTCACCTGAGGTCCTAATGGTGGCTCTAATTTACATCCACAAAGTTCCATTTCTAGTTAAGGTCATATTCTGAGGTCCCAGTAGGTCTGAATGGGGAGTGGGATTGTGACCGACTGTGTGTGCTGTGACTGTCTGTTCGTGTGACATAGGCCTTGACCTAAGACAGTTAGCAATTTATACTTTCCCACTCACACGACGGGCAACCTGTGATTTTTCTTCTTAATTTTGAGCACGGGGTCTGCTAACTGATCACGCTCCAGTGGCATATGACGAATGGCACTATTTCTCCCAGCCTGTTTCTTGTTTACCTTGAAATGTGGTCTCAATACTCATCAAGGGCCATGTGTTGAAGCAGATGGGAGACAGGCCCTCTCAGGAATGCTGGCAGCTCTCCCTTTCAGATGGAGAAGTTCTGGAACATTCCTCCAAGCAGGTTACTGGAGATGGTTACTGTTAGTGTGAAATAGTCTGTTTTTTTTCTAATGTGTTTTAAAATATTTTTTTTCTTTTAGAATGAATTCTGGAACATATATAAAGGTAAGATATTTCTATTTCAATCATGAGAGAGACTCCTCAACATTTAAATTAAAGAGAAAGGATCAGCTTTGGGAAACATTTTAAATTACATTCTGGTTCAAATCTTATTTATCTACACTTTTCCCTTCTATATTTCCATGATACTTTTAAAACGTATTTTATAGTAAATTTATATGGATTCCAGTTTATTATTTATTAAAATACACATCTTTCTGGGGATCTTGTTGCCCTCAGTGTCCTGTCCACAAACTCCCAGGCTCAAGCCACCCTCATTACCAACCTCTTGAGTAACTTGGACGGTATGTGTTTTCTACCATGTCTGGCTCAGATACAGATTTAAGTCCGTTCTTCCTTGTATCTGAGGATGCCAAATTCCATGATATTTTTAACAAGTTTAGCAAGCTGAAGCAAACGGTGGAGCTTGAAATACTGGACTTTCCAAAAGGTGGCCACCCTGACGACTGTTCATAGCATCAGAGATGATACTGATCATGGCTACCTGGAAGTTATTTCAAAACGGCTATTAGACACTCCTCCTCTGAGTAAGTGACAAACCAAGAGAGGTGGAGCCTGTGCCAGAGCTGGATCATCCCCTGGTTCTCATTCCACACCCAGCGGCCTTGGGAAAAAGAGTCCCCTCCTTCTCTGACCAGCACCCAGTCCAGAAACAAGTGCCACATTGTCCCCTGTCCTTCTCCTTTGCAGAGGAGGTAAAGCCCCTCTTCCTGGCCACAAACACATTGTAATACATCCCCAGAGAAACCAGAAACCAGTGCCTGTGTTGCAAGGCACAGGGGTATCACACATACATAGCCACCAAAGTGGGAACTAAACAAAATCTGGGTATGATGAATTTCTTCTCAAAGAGAAGCAAGCTCAAGCTATCGGCAAAGTGGCTGCAGGTACCATACAGTGTCAGTGGTGGCCACGATGAAACGACTTCAGCCTTGGTTTCCAAATCCTCTCACTGCAGATGGTGACCAGTGCGAAACCAAGCCTTGCCAGAATCAGGGCAAGTGTCGCGACGGCCTCGGCGAGTACACATGCACCTGCATGGAGGGATACGAAGGCAAAAACTGTGAATTCTGTAAGTCCCTCTCTCATGGAGCTTTGGGTCATACCACAACCAGGAAAGAGGGAGACACTGAAACACTTAACGAGACACCTAGGTCGTTGGTCACTCTCCGACACATCAAACCACTGGATGTGTCTGTCCTCTAGCTGTTCGGCAGGGTGTGACATGGGAGACACAGCTTCCCCGTGGGGCACCGTGAGGCAAGTGACAGGGCAGCACAGCTGAGAACCGGGTAGACTGTGCCCACGGCTCCTCCTGCTTCTGCTCTGGAACCGCCTTTGTTCACACTTGTAAACACAAGTATCAACAAGGAACGGTCTAGGTTGCCCAGTTTCAGATATGTGGTGCCCTTAGCTGATTCTACAGGAAGCCTCACTGAGCTATTCGTACAATGGTGACTCCATTTTTAAATAGTCATTAGGTTTCTCTCAGCCCGGTTCTCCCTAAGAAGTAAGACCTGCATTTTTACCTCTTTATCTTTTTAATTAATTAATTAATTAATTAATTAATTAATTGCTGTGGTCTCACTTTTTAACCAAGGCTGGACTAGAACTTATATAACTTATATATAGCCCACTCCAGATTTGAACTCCCAGCAAATCTCCTGCCTCAGCCTCCTAAGTGGGATTACAGGTGTATGTCACCATGCCCAGGGTTAAATTACTTTCCTTATAGAATGTGATCTTTATCCGGACGCCCTCAGGACTCTCCCCAGTGGAACTGCTGGTTATGATTATGAACCATCCCACAGAAGCTCATCCAGTTCCTGTACACAACATATTAACATATCTAACGAGGGCACAATCCGGGAGCTAAAATTCCATCAAGGTAGATTTTACTCCATAATTGTTTTCTCACCAAACCCAAGCGGAGGGCTGTAAAGCACATTGCTACAGACGTGGTCATTAGCGTGAGCTGGATCAGCTAGCACTCTGGAAGCAGGTGGGTACCTCTGGTCTAAGACGCGGTGGATGAAGGAATACAGGCTCAGTCAGCCCTAAGGTGCAACGGCAGGTCAGAAGTTACCAAGGGAGCTTAGCAGGCGCTACGCCGTAATTTCATGTAGCCTAAAGTTCCTTCGCTTCCGTGATTTCCTAGCGTGTAGATGGAGCTGTGGGACTTAAATGGCACCCCCACCCCTCCGCTTCCGTCTTCTCTGGAGCTGGCTCCTGGCTTTCTGCCACACACTTCCCATAGATAATTATTCCTTCCAGGTCTCACGGGAACCCAGATCCCAAACCATGACATGCCCACAGCACTGGGGCCAGGGTAGGGCTCAAATACTGTTCATTGTTACTGAGTGAGGGAAGAAAGAGGTTCAGCTAGGATGCAATTCTTCGCCCATGCCAAGAGCAGCACCCTGGATGAGCAGGATGTGCACAGCCCTCAACAGAGAACATTCTCATTGGAGAGCCCTGTGAGGATGCCAGGTGTCCCTCCCCTGGCCTGTGCGGATGCTGGGTGTGCCCCTCATAACCTGTGCATATGACAAATGTCCCTCTCCATTGTCTGTAAGGATGCCCGGTGTTTCTCCTGTAGCCTGTGCTTGTGTCAAATGTCCCTCCTAAGGTCTGGGGAGGCAGCAGCAGGAAGAAAGGCTTACATGAGGCTGCCATCTTGTTTGGCTGCCTGTCCTGTTATCATGGAAACCACCCTGGTGTGGTCCTTTGCATACCATGGCCTAGGCATGGCTGAGGCTGGGCAGACAGAGCTGGCATGTCTGAATTCATCACGTGTCTGTGGGAAGGGCTCATCTGTCCTCTGTTTTGCAGTTGTTCGGAAACTCTGCAGCCTAGACAACGGAGACTGTGACCAGTTCTGCAGCGAAGAGCAGAACACGGTGGTGTGCTCCTGCGCCAGCGGTTACTTCCTGGGTGATGACGGCAAGTCCTGCATCTCCACAGGTAGGAGTCATCAGGCTGTGGAGACGGTGTGACATTGCTGAGGGCATGTTCTGGTGGCACCTGCAGAGCAGTGATGACAGGAGATGGAGAGTAAGAGATGGGGCTCTGGACAGATCAGCCATAAAAGCTTCAGGTTTGAGAGGAGATGCATTAGACCTAAGGACAAGCGGCTGCTCCACCTCCGCACCTGAAGGGGCTGGCACTGCTGCCTCATTGCTGGCAAAGGAGGTGATCCCAGGCATCACTGAGTTGGGCATACCCACAGCTCTGGCCGGGACTTCTGTGCAGGGTAGCCCATTCTCCTCTGGCCTGGGGGCCTGGAAAGCACAGCTATCACAATATCCCAGGGGCAGAACCTGCCTAGGTCAAGAAGGAGGCCTGGGCAGTTAGTGGAGCCCGCACTGGTATCATTTTTGCAGCCCCACGCTGATTGGATTTGCTTTTTACCTGGTAGAACTGGGTGTGCCGGGTCTTATGAGCAGCAGAGCCACTACTAACAAGGCTCTCAGAGAGCGATGAGTGCCATGTGGGCCGAGGAACACGAAGGCCACGGGAATGAGAAGGGCCCAACCGGTGTTCTTGGTTACAAGGGTCGCCTGAAGAAACAGAGACACTGCAGGGTGTATAAGCTTCTGGGCTGCAAGGACAATCAGCCTCTGATGGACTGACCGCCTAGTGACTCTTCAGAAGCTCTTTTTATTGATACACAAAAGGCCCTTTAGCGAGTCAATTCCCGCATACCAAAATCTCTTATCTGAACTAGGAGGCATCTTAAGGAAGTATTACCTAAGCAAACACAATCATGCTAAAAAAACGCCAGGTTTGCCAGGAACATCTTATGACTGAGGTTATGCCAAGGCTCTGATATTCCCAAGACAGAGCAACCTCATAAAAACTCAGATAACAATCATTGATTATTTACAAGAGATTATTTCAAGGCCTAAGTGGTCATCACTCCAGAGTAAATGCCAGGCTCAACTGCTCTTTTAATATTCCACTACACTCATCTGGGCCATACAGACATAAGATGAGCTCTCTGAAAAGTCAGAGTTGGTCCACAAATGGTCCCTAACTTTCGCCATGGCATCCCCCGGGGTGGGTTTGAAGTGCAGGGTTTCAGCCCCGCATACAGCCTGGATGATCAAGCTCAGATGAGAAGAGATAGGGCTCAGGATGCTGAGTCATTTCCCCCTCTTTCCCCACTCATCTGCTCAAACAAAACAAAACAAAAAGCAAACAAACAAACAAAAAAAACGATTTGGGACTGGAGAGAGATGGCTCAGTGGTCAAGAGCACTGGCTGCTCTTCCAGAGGACCCGAGTTCAAGTCCCAGCACCCACATGGCAGCTCACAACTGTCTGCAACCCCGGTTTCAGGGGATCTGACACCTTTACACCAATGCACATAAAATAAAGTTAAATAAATTATTTTTAAAGCGATTTTTTGAGAAATTACATAATCAGAGAAGAGTGGCTTCAAGGATGAATTCAATTGCATAGCATGAACTCTCTCAACAACCTAAACACATGGACTTTATTCCCACTGACATAGTTTTAAGTTTAAATTAGTTCAGAAAATTTTAACTAGAGCTATTTCTTGATATGTGTATAAATTATTTTAACTTCAGGGATAATTGCAAATCAATTCGAAATAAGACTTAATATTTGAAAGCGTAACAAAAGGCTGAGGTGTGGCTCAGTAGTAGAGAACTCACCCAGCAGGGGTCCAGAGGTTGCAACTACATATCTCAGCCCAGAGATAGTAAATTGCAGGACAATGGATGCCATGTCCCCAGCAACAGAGTCCCCAATCCTTCTCACTGGCTAAGGACACAACCATATCTCATGGGAACAGGAGTAAAGGCTACACTGTAACATGACCTTAACCCATCACTGGCACAGACCAGCCACTAGGCTCAACCTCGGTCTACAGTATCCCTTTCTCACCATTGGATTTTGCTACTTTTATTGCAAAACTTAAAGGCTCTTAGCTCTGCTTTGTGTTTTTGGCTCTCCCTTTAAACTTGGTTAAAAGCAGACAGCAATAACCATGCCACGGCCTGAATGCTGGGCTGCCAAGAAATTTCTTCCACCAATTTAGTTTGCCTGTCGTCTTTATAACATGGCTCCCACAGTCTGAGGGCATGAGCAAAATTAAACAAGTTTTTATAGTCAATGGCCTCCAGTCCAGTTCCCAAAAGAGTTCCTGTTCCTTTCCAAGCTTCATAGTCTTTGCTATCCACAATCCTATCAGCATTCTTGTCTTCTGAGCTCCCACTGGGAACACCCATTTAGCTCTGCCAACAGATGTCTAAGTTTTTCTCTGGCTCTCATCTCTAAATGCTTTCAAATCCTTCTTCTACAAACTGGCTCCAAGCCTTTCGAACCACATTGACCAAGTATCCATAGCAACAACCCCACTCTTGGTACCAAATTTTTGTATTAGCCAGAATTTCAGGGATGTGACAAAGCACCTGACCGTTAAAGGATAAGGGATTTGCTCTGCTCAGCTTTCAGAGACTCGAGCCCATCGTGGTGTGGGAAGCACATCTGGGCTGAGGCTCATCTTGTGGCTGCCAGTAATGGAGAGAGAAAATGCCTGTGCCAACAAGTTTTGTCCTTTTCTCTATTTTATTTTGTTTGGGTCCCCAGAGTATGTGATAGTGCTGCCTACACTTGGGGTATAGCTCTCCCATCTTAATCTTCCTGGAAACATCTTTATAGTTATGCCAAGAGCTGTGTTTTATTTTTCTTTGAGACAGGATTTCTCTGTGTAGCCCTGGCTGTCATGGAACTTACTCTGTAGACCAGACTGGCTTCGAACTCAGAGATTCGCCTGCCTCTGCCTCCTAAGTACTGGGATTAAAGGTGTGCACCACCACCACTCTGCAAGCTGTGTTTTACTAGTCTCTCACTTGACTATCAGTCAGGTTTAACAATCACCCCCTGGGCTTCCAGGGAGCCTCAGTAGGCCCGTGGAGCTTCTGGCTTTGCTGAGGCCTCCTCTGTTCTCCCTATTCTTTCAGTGCCCTTCCCCTGTGGGAAAACCACCATAGGACGTAGGAAGAGGTCCTTGGACCAGAGCACCAACCACAGTAAGCCTTTCCCTGAATCCCTCTCGGACTTGGTGCTGTCACCTACGGAGAACCCGTCCAACCTGCTCAACCTCAACCAGACACAACCGGAAAAGGACAGCTCAAGCGTTATTCGTATTGTGGGTGGCCGAGCATGCAAAGACGGGGAGTGTCCCTGGCAGGTAACTGGGCCAAGATAGAACTGATGGCCCGTAGAACAGGCTGGTGGGACAATCCCCTGAGGGTCAGCAGCTCAGACCTGCAAGGGTCCTTCCTGGTGGTCATCATTCCTCTTCTAGTATGAGAGTATTTTTTAAACAAAAACATTTAAATACTAAGAGGTATAAAATACCTTAGAAAAAAAAAAGACACATCTATTTATGTTCAAAATGTTTGTTTTCAACCACTCTTTGGTTATTGACGTGGCCCAGGGCTGCCAGACTTAAGAAAAACATCCCAAGCCCCCCAGCAAGACTTGAGCCTCCCACAACGAACACTCCCTGATGTAAAACTGAACACGGGAGGAAAGCGCTCACCCACTTTCTGACCCCAGCTTTGCAGGGTTTTCTGAATCTCCTCCATCATCCCCACTAGCACTTGAGGTTTCCAGCTTCCCAAACCTAAATACCTCTCCAAAAAGAAAAGGGGAGGGGGGGAGAACCCTAGGCAGTGGTTCTCAAGCTGTGGGTCACGACCCCTTGGGATTGCATATCAGATATCCAGATATCCTGCATATCCGATGTTTACATGTTGCTTTGTAACAGTAGCAAAGTTACAGTTATGAAGTAGCAATGAATTGATTTTTATGGTGGGGGGGTCACCATAAAAGGATTAAGGGACTGCTTTAAAGGATTGAAGCATTAGGAAGGTTGAAAACCACTTTCCAGTAGTCACTGGCAATCCCCGGAGATCACCTAAACACCCTCCCCCTTCAGGGCACTGGGCAGGCCTGACTGCCCAGAGGCAGGAGAAGCAGCCCCAGCCTCTTTGGACACATGTACCAAGAACTGGCTGGGCCCAGGGAGGCTGCTGACTTCCTCTCCCTTGCCACTCAAGCAAGGTTTGAGTTTATATAACTATCCAGAATAAACAGGGACTGGGAGAATGGCTCAATGGTTAGGAGTGGGTACTGCTTTTCCAGAGAACCAGAGTTCAATTCCTGGCACCTGTATCAGTCAGCTCCCAAGTCCAGGAGATCTGCCACCTTTGACCTCCACAGTGACCCCCCACTCATAAGCATAAACATACACATAAACATAATTTTAAAAAACAAATATGTCTTTAAAATAAGAAAGAGAAAATAAACTCGGTAAAGGGAAAGTTGTCTTTTTAGCTATGAAGAGCACCAAGGATTCTTTCAGGACTTAATACTTCCTGTACTTTTTTTGTTTGTTTGTTTTAGATAGGGTCTCACTATGTGGGCCTGGCTAGTCTGGAACTCACTATGTAGATCAGTCTGGTTTCAAACTCTTAAGAGATCTGCCTGCCAGCTTCTGTCTCCCTATTCCCAGGATTAAAGCAGCCTGGACTTTTTGAATGTGGCCTGCATGAGAGCAGTGGTTCTCAACCTTCCTAATGCCACAACCCTTAACACAGTTCCTCATACTGTCGTGACCTCCAACCATAAAATGATTTTGTGGCTACTTCTTAACTGTAATTTTGCTACTGTTACAAATTGCAATGTAAACATGTGGCATGCAATCCCAAGGGGGTCGTGACCTGCAGGTTGAGAACCAGCATGTGAGAGGGTAGGGAATTCCCTAGAGAAAGTCAAGCCAGTCCACGCTTGGTGCCCAGCACTTCAGACCCAGTGCTCTGGGATGGGCACGGTTCCCCTCATGCCGTCAATGTTTGCTTACCTCAGATCACTGCTCAGTGGCATCTGTCACTGAATGTCACATTCAAGAGCAGCCACATGTACCCAGAGTCAATCATCCCAGAAAGTGGCATTTCATAAGCAGGAAGGCAGGTCTGAAGGCGGGATGACTCTGGATGATTCTGACTCTGGGAAGTGAGGTGTATTCGCAAAGCCAGGCTGGTCTAGGTCATGAGTCATGGCCACGTAAACCCAAAGGCTCTACTATGGTGAAATGCTTTTCTGTGCATAGGGAGAAAATGCTAGGACTGGTTTGGACAAGATGAAAGAGGAGGCCCTGTTAAAGGGACCTTGTCATGGGTGGGAAGGAGACAGGCAAAGGCATCCTGCAGGGCTAGCACTTGGCCCAGTGCTGGAGCCTCAGCAAATGTCTGTGGACCATCAGTCGGTCAGTCCATCTTTAAAGCAGACCAAAGCTATAGTGTGGAAATAAAGCTGGGTGTCTCCAGGAGTCAGTCACAATGTGGGCACTGGAGAACATTCAGAGTGCCGGGCAGGAAGGGCTGGGTCACTTGCATAGATGCTTCTAGAGGTGCAGGGCCAGAAAGAGTTGTAGGGCTGGCTAGTGGGGTAGCGAGCAGCGCCTTGCTGTGGGGTACAATACATGGTTCCCTGCCAGGCTCTAGCACTAAGAGAAAGGCAGGAAGCAGACAGGCAGAAGGGGCTGGATCTCGGGGTAGTCCAGCGGACATGGAGAGCTGTGGTCAAGTGTAATGCTCCTAGAAAAGGTTCCTTGAGACCCTGCAGAGAGCCCACACGGCCTAGTCAGCTTGGCACGGCCCTTGTGCAGACCGTAGGTGGTTTGCAGACACTCTGTTCTGGTCGCAGGCTCTGCTCATCAACGATGACAACGAGGGCTTCTGTGGGGGCACCATCTTGAATGAGTTCTACATCCTCACTGCGGCCCACTGTCTGCACCAAGCCAAGCGATTCAGGGTGAGGGTAGGTAAGTGACGCTCCAGCCCTGGGGACGCCACCATCTCAAGCCCTGGGGATATGATTGCTGCCCTCCCCCTAGAACTACACAAGGGCTCTATGAGCAACACCTGCTCAAATGCAGATACTCGGAGATAGAGAGGAGAAGGGGGTGGTCATCTCCAGACTTCCGGGGCCGGGCCACACAGAGACTTCTCACCTTCCCTCTTCAGTGTTTTCACGGCGTTCCTCTCAGCATCCTTCCCTCAAAAACCTTCCCAGCCTGCCTCTCTCCACAACACTCTCGGAGTCTCTTACTTCCATTTATGCCTCAATATTACTTCATTTTGGTGTTTCTATGAGACCCATGAGCTAGGCAGTGAAAAGTCCTGCACAAGCTCCAAATGTGGTTTGAAAATGTCTGGCATCCCTCCGCTACAGATTTAACAAGCAGAGATGGGCAAGGTTATTCCAGTGTCTTGTTTCCAAAGCCCTGACTTCCCAGGTGTTTAGAAATAAATAAACCTCGGCTGCGAGCGAGATGTTACTACAGTCTCCTTTCACAGCCAGCGGCACTGTGCCTTCAGCTCATCTCAGGTCAGACCGCTTGGGCCTGGGTGCACAGCCCAGGTCTGGAAGAGGATATAGGCCCGTGGCCCTGAGCTGATTGACAGACCCCGCTTGCCAGGAGTACTCAATTGTGAGGAATTGGAAAGCACAAGAGCCCTAAACATTCACACAAAAATGTGATTAGTTGTTAGCAGTATTTACTTCTCTCGCACAGGGCCTGGGTTCAGTTCCCAGAGCCCATGTGGTGGCTCACAGCTGTCTGTAACTCCAGGTCCAAGGGGATCTGATATCCTGGTCTCCACAGGCACTAGGCATGTGCACAGTACACATGCATACACTCGCAGGCAAATGCTCACAGACATGAAATAAAATAAACCTTTTTTTAAAAGTCTTTAAAAATATGACCAGAAGGGGAAGCCCTGGGAGGAAGGCAGAGCCCTTTCGTCTCTGCAGAGAGCAGGCTCTTTGTGAATCTGCGAGCACTGCCTCATCCTTCTGAGCACTAGGACACAAGCATATGCTCCTTGACGTGGGTCTGGTTTTTTATTAGGGAAAATTATTTTGTGGGGTGGGGTGAAGGGTTTATTTGCCTTATACTTCCACATCACTGTTTATCACTGAAGGAAGTCAGGGCAGGAATTCAAACAGGGAAGGAACCTAGAGATGGGAGTTGATGCATAGGCCACGGAGGGGTGTTGCTTATTGGCTTGCTCCTCACGACTTGTTCAGCCTGTTTTCTTATAGAACTCAGGACCATCAGCCCAGGGATGGCCCCACCCACAATGGTCTGGACCCTCCCCAATTAATCACTAATTAAGAAAATGTCCTGCAGGCTTGCCTACAGCCGAATCTTATGGAGGCAATTTTTCAATTGAGGCTCTCTCTTCTGTGATGACTCTAACTTGTGTCAAGGTGACTTAAGACCAGGCAGCTCATTTCCTCCCTCCCTCCCTCCCTCCCTCCCTCCCTCCCTCCCTTCCTTCCTTCCTTCCTTCCTTTCTTTTCTTGTGGAGACAGTATCTGGTTATGTAGCACTGGCTGGCCTGGAACTTACTATGTAGATAATGCTGGCCTTGAAGTCACAGAGATCCTCTTGCATCTGCCTCCTTCCCTGCGTGACTACAGGTGTATGCTTCTTTAAAGGTAGCTGATATGCAAACACCCGGCCCTGAGAGAACTAACTGACATCTGCGCTCTCTCTCTCCCTCTCCCTCTCCCTCTCCCTCTCCCTCTCCCTCTCCCTCTCCCTCTCCCTCTCCCTCTCCCTCTCCCTCTCCCTCTTCCTCTCCCTCCCTCTCCTCCAGGGGATTGGAACACAGAGAAGGAGGAAGGCAATGAGATGGTGCACGAGGTAGACGTGATCATAAAGCACAACAAGTTTGTTAGGGAGACCTATGACTTCGACATCGCAGTGCTCAAGCTGAAGACTCCCATCATGTTCCGCATGAACGTGGCCCCTGCCTGCCTGCCTCAGAAGGACTGGGCCGAGGCCACACTGATGACGCAGAAGTCGGGCATCGTGAGTGGGTTTGGACGCACGCATGAGAAGGGCCGCCAGTCAAACATCTTGAAGATGCTGGAGGTGCCCTATGTGGATCGCAACACCTGCAAGCTCTCCAGCAGCTTCACCATCACACAGAACATGTTCTGTGCTGGCTACGATGCCAAACTGGAGGATGCCTGCCAGGGGGACAGCGGCGGCCCCCATGTCACTGAGTACAAAGGCACCCACTTTGTGACTGGCATTGTCAGCTGGGGAGAAGGGTGTGCGAGGAAAGGGAAGTATGGGATCTACACGAAGGTCACGGCCTTCCTCCGGTGGATCGAGAAGTCCATGAAAGCCAGGGTGGTGCCCACATCTGAGACCCCAACGTCAACAAGCCCTCCCCATTAAAGCAGCTCTCTAGACCTGCTGGGTCACATATGCGTTGTTTAATGTTGCCACCTGAGCAGGAAGCTTCTGAGGGCAGATACCTCCCTGCAGGGGTAGACTCTTCAGGTTCAAGTTTGCTGTTCTTTCAACTTCATGGTATCAGAAACAGACTCTGATTGAGCAAAGATTTCTCTCTTCCTGAGTCAGACTGCGGAACTCTCAGGGAGTCACAGGCTCTAGGGGATTAGGCCACTGCTCACACTTAGATAGACCCATCTCTTCTCACACTTGGATGGAGCCATCCCTGCTCACACTGCGATGGAGCTGTGTCTTCTCCCCATGATAGTGTATGATTCTGATTTTGAGTGGTCAAACTGACCCGCTCAACTGACTGTGCTTAACTACCTTGAGAATAAATGCTCACACATGTGCGCACACACATGCATACACATGTGCACACGCACACACACATACAGTGGGACAGACTTCAGCTCCCCGGTAGATGCTTTAGGTCAGGGGGGTCAGACTCTGATTTGCCCTTGCATGGCCAGAACTCTCACTCTCTCTGGGAACTAGGCTGCATAGAATTGCTGGTACTGTGACAGCCACTGAAAGGAGAGAATCCCCGGAAGATAGTCTAAGATCTTTGTCTAAAGATTAAGGACCTTCAACCCGGATCTGAGACAAGCACCAACCCTCTGCTGGGCTTCCTGTGAGCGTGTACAGGAGCCTTCCTGAACTATGCTGTCTGCTGAGTGTACATGGACTCTGTGCTGAGCTGAGCAGTGAGTGTGCATGTGGTCTCCCTGAGCTGGGCCGTGTGCTAAACGTGCTCGTGTCTTCCTGAATGAGACTGAGGGATAAGTGTGCACAGGAGTCTCCCAAGATGGCTGCCTGGTGAGGGTGTATGGAGCTTCCCCGAGCTAAAATTGGTGTTGAATGTGCACGGGCTTCTTCCTGAGCAAGTGCTAATAGTGATCTGCCGCCCAAACACATGGGTCTTAGCCCTGCTCTAGTTAGGAGACTCCAGAGGGGTCTTTGCAAAGCCTAAATCCTGGCCTTACCCCAAACATTAAATTCTAAGTCTCTAGGATGGGCCTCACCCCAGAAGTTTCTGCATCTCTTCCAGACACTGTCATGCCACCAAAGCAGATGTTCAGTGGCATGACGTGACTGGACAGGGTCCAGGGCATGTCTCACCTCCCCCCCAGTCTTGCATTGCCTCCAAGCCCCAAGTTAAATGTTTGTGGGAACCAAGCCTACTTTCAGTAAATAGACTAACTTTTTTTTCCGAGATTTTTCCTATAGTTTGCACTTTGCGTAACTTTCCCAAGCAAAGTTTAAAGGTTCCAATACAAACCTTCCCCCAGACCAAGAGCTGGATAGAGTCCTTTGTAAACAGATTTTGCAAGGTTAGGGAAAGTCAACAAGAACAGCGCTTGGTTTCCTAGAACCATAGTAGCCAAGAGTGAGGCTGGGGTCTGAGAACCGAGCTGAGCTGTGCAGACACCGCTGGATCAGTGATGTGGACAGTGGAGCACACCTACTGCATATCGTGGCCCACTGGCCCAGCATGCATGTCAGCAAGAAGACCACGGTTTCACTCACCTGGCGGATGGACTTTGTGTCTGTCCCTAAGAACAAGAACTCCCTGGTCTCTAACCACCACCCCAGGACAAAGTCAGCACCCACACAGGTCCCTGTACCAACAGAAAGACAAGTACAAGAGTCTGTGTGGGTGTGGGGTCAGCCATGGGGAAGCTGAGCAGACATTAAAAAGTGAGTTTACTCAAGAGCACATGTTACACATAGTTCACCACTAGAACAGCTAAGAGAATCTTTAATAATTTCAAAGCAAGCAGAAAATCCAGTACCCAGATCCTGAGTCAGGGGCCAGGAAGGTGAGCCCCAGATTTAGTGAGGTATCTCCCATTGTGGATCTGGCACTCAGGACCTAGGCTTCCTGTGGTACTGGCAGAGTGGGCACAGGCTCTCTGGGGTGTGATGGGGATCCAGGTTCCTTGTGGTACTGGTAATGAGGGCACAGGCTTCCCAGGGTGCAGTGGGGACCCAGGTGCCCTGTGGTGCTGGCAGTGTGGGCACAGGCTCCCTGGGGTGCAGTGGGCACCCAGGTGCCCTGTGGTGCTGGCAGTGCGGGCACAGGCTCTCTGGGGTGCAGTGGGGACCCAGGTGCCCTGTGGTCCAGGCGATGAGAGTGCTGGTTCCCAGAGCAGTGATAGTGGCTTCTAGACTGAGTGCAGAAAGGAGTAGCATCCTCACGTGGTTCTGCTTGGACTGAGCTGGCCAAGAAGGAGTTCATTCACACGCCACGCTCCTAGGGCAGGCCAGCCCTGGAGCCCGTAAACCGCCTTTGCCTGATTGATGGAAGCTTTGTCTGGTTCACTATTTTTTTAAATTGAAATATAATCACACCATTTCCCCCTCCATCTCTTCCCTCTGGTCCTTCCCATGCTCACCCATGATCTCAAGTTCATAAGCAACCTCTAATTATTCATTGTTGGAGATGCATGATAGACACACACACACACTTTGTACATCCTAAGCTGAATCCATACTTTCTGTCTTTTTAAAAATTGAAAGTAGATTTTTTTCATACACTCTATTTTGATCACAGTTTCCCCTCCCCCAACTCCTCCCCACCTTGCCACCCACCCAAATCCACAAGAAACTAAAGCAAATAAACAAAAAAAAATCCAATAAGATAAAACAAACTTTTTAAAAGCCAAATAAAAAGCACAAGAAAAGCATAGAGACGAGGATGAGTAGACACACACCTGCACACAAGGAAATCCCATAAAAACGCACCATCTGAAACCATGATATATAATTCTTCTAACTTTTAAAAAACAACTTCACAATGTATGGACTAGTGAAGCTGCTGCCTACTCTGTTGTCTTCCCTTTCTGCTTTAGTGAACCGTGTTTATAGGTGTCCCTGGATTTTGTTGCTGTATCATGCAGAAGATGCAGGCCCCAGGCCCACTCACAGCCCTAACCCATCCGCTGATGGTTTCATCCTCCCCTCCTACTCCAGTCTCCCTGCGACTCCGGCTCCAGACACGTCACCTGGCCTTCGCGCACACGTCTCAGGTGACACCGTGTGCCCTCACCTACGCCTCTCCTGCCCTGATTACCTGCCCATCTTCATCCCTGGCACTGTCTCCTTCCCCTCACTGTCAAGTTTCTGTGCCCCTCCTTTGCACGACTACACAATTTTTACGGTGGCATCCTTCCTACCTACTCACAGCTGTGTCCAGACCCAGGATGGCCCCTTGCAGGGAAAGAAGGCCACCTGCACTGAGACCCCTCCACTTTCCCCTCCATGTCTACCTCAGCTGGCTAACAGTAAATGCAGGAAAGGACCGTAAGGAGAGTCGCTTCCTGCTCTCCACCGACATCTAGGTCCACTGGTCACCTAATCTAGCCCTGTATGTGTTCGAAGGCATGGGTCAACCACATTGTCTCCCCGGGGCTCTGGACTTTGACTGTTTGCAGACTTTGCCCTGCCTGAGCCAGCCGGGCTCTGGGTCAGCATGGCTGGCTGTGTCTCGCTGCTCCGGGGCCTCATTCTCGCCTTCCTCCTTACCCTTGTCCTGCACCAGGTGGAGCTTTCAGGTAGGTGCTTGCTGTTCCATTCTTTGAAGAAACAGTTTCTTTAAGCTGGGGTCTCATTCTGTAGCCCAACCTGGTCTGAAACTCACAATGTAGTTCAGGCTAGCTTCAGCTCTTGGCAATCCTCCTGCCTCAGTCTCCCAAGCGCTAGGACTACAGGAATGAACCACCAGATCTAGCCGTCTCATCCTTGGTCCGGCCCCAATTGTTCTGTAGATGATACTGTCTTTATGGGTCCTAAAGGACAAGCCACTCCCTCCTGAAAGTCAGTATGGATCTCATTGCCCTGCGGTAAGAGCTGCTGAAGGTGACAGGGACCTATTGGGCAAGGACAGCCTAAGTCATGCAGGCCAAGACAAGGCTGGGCACCCCTTAGCCATAGCTGGGTTGCAGCTTGACCATCTAGATGTCGGGGGTTCTTGTTCTGTGCTGAAAGACTGCCAGGAACAGCTAGCCTAAGCCTTGATCCGCATTGCTCTTTCCACCCTGGAGCATCTAAGCCTTCCATCCCAGCCTCTGTGAGTCTCTTCTGGGTCCTCTGTCTGTCTATGTCCTCCTTTCCCCCGCATCAGCTCAGGCGTGATTCCAGGCCACTAGCCTTTACTCTCTCTGACTTCTGCACCCCCTCCTTCCACACCTAACAGTCCTCATCACCAGCCTCTTCACGTTTGCTCAATACCAACTCCTGTGAGGGTGGCGCCCACATGGGAAAGTCCTGCCTGCTGGCTCTCAGCACTGGCCTGAGCCCTGAAGCAGGACCAAAGTTCTCAAAAAAATTCCTGACTGTCGTCAGTTTGAGCCTGCTGAGTTTTGTGATCCAAATGTGCCACAATGGGGTCCATTTTAGCCAAATGAGGCTTCTTGGCACCTTATATACTGGTGTGGGAAAAAAATAACCAGCAGCTTGCACGCTTGCCCTCGTCCTGTAGACAGGGCTGTGAGCTGAGTGCTCCTGGTGAGCAGGGCTGTGTCCCTAAGCCCTGTGGTGGCATCACTGTCCCTGGGATGGACATAGCCATCCTGCCACCTTAACACCCAACTGTGTGCATCTCAGGGTATCTCTGAGGAAACTGTCCTCTCATCCGACCACTTCCCAAGGCGTCCAAGGTGCTCAGTGGTGCTCAGAACCCAGTACTGTCCTGTGATTGTGCAGGAAGGAAAACTATGTAGGTCTGAGCGCTGTTTGAGTGAGCTCACCTGAGCACCCCCTCCCTCATGCTGTCTGTCTCCGTTGCCTGCTCAGGACTCCTTCCTGCCATGGAGAAGTTGCTCAGTAACCCTGGCATTCCTGTATTTACATAGGACACTCTCTGATGTGTCTGTCCACAGGTGTTGCATTTTTGCAACATACCAGGATAGATCATGTCGAAGCAAATGGTGATAGGCCTGTCCCGTGTCCTCCT